AGTCATATCTTAGCAAATATCTAGCTAAGATGTGACTGATTTTGGCATTTGACATACCTTCTAAGAAAAGAGAGAGTGGGTGGGCTGGGCTAATACCCTAGTAAGATAATACTGAATTTGGCAAATGAAATGTCCTCTAAGAAAATAGAGGGCGGGCGGGCGGGGCTAGAAAATTATTCCCACTAATTTTCGAAAATAGTTGAGTGGTCAAAAGTGCCAAAATTAGTTTTATCTTATCAAATATTAGCCCCGCCCACCCACCCTCTATTTCCTTGGAGGGAATGTGATTTGCCAAAACCAGTCTTATCTTAGCAAGTACTAGCTAACTAAGATAAAACTGATTTTGGCAAATGACATACCCTCTAAGAAAAAAGGGGGTGGGTGGGCGGGGCTAGTAGCTGCTACAATTAGACTGATTTTAGGAAATGACATTTCCTCTAGGAAATTTAATTAAATTATTATAAGAAAACACACTACAGGCCCCAAAGCACTTTCAAATTCTTTCCAAACACGAATACCTAGAACCTCAAGACTGTTTAAATTTTTCAAAAAAAAATTTAGATTCCAAAAGTAACTTAAAAACAGGTAAGGTCAAAGTTATCCAAAAATAGAACACTAATGTCCCCCAAAATTGTTTTAAATAATTTATAAAAAATGTCCATGGGCTTCCAAAATAACATACTATGAATACCCAAAGACTGCGGCACTCAAGACTTTCAAATTTGTACCTTCCAAGAAAAGAGAGGGTGGGTGGGCGGGGCTAATACCTGTTTAAATAAGACCGATTTTGGCAGACGGCATTCCCTGCAAGAAAAGTGAGGGTGGGTGGGCGGGGCTAGTACCTACCTCCTAAGATAAGACTGATTTTGGCAAATGACGTATCCTCTAAGAAATTTAATTAAATTATTATAAGAAAAGACACGAGAAGATCCAAAGCACTTTCAAAATCTTTCCAAATAGGAATAACTAGAACCTCGGGTGCGATTGTGTTTCTCGGTCGAAAAAAACTCGATAGCGATAAAATCTCGTTTGCTGATTGGCTGAGAGGCTGAGTTGGTGAGACATTTCTGTCACATTTCTCGATTCTGCCACGAAATCAAGTCTTCATGGAGTGATATTTTCTCGATAGCTCTGAATGAAGTGATAAATTTTGGAGACATAACCTCGAAATTTATGTCAAAATAGAAGTTCAAAATCGTTATTCTGAGTTATAACTTCTTAAAACTAAGGTAACTGTAAACTTTTAAGCATTTAATAAGCTTATATGCAAAGAATAAATGCAAACTTTGCATTTAAAAGCTACGAAATGACATTTATCGCAAGTGATAATTTATCACTTCGATCAAGAAACAAAATGCCACCCCTCAAGATTGTTTTAAATTAAAAAAAAAAAAAACTGGGTCCCAGAATTAACTCAAAAACAGGTCAGATCAGAATTGTCCAAAAATAGAACACCAAATTCCCCCAAAAGTGTTTTAAATAATTTACAAAAAAAATCTCCATGGGCTCCCAAACACAGCGGCACTCAAGACTTTCAAATTCGGACCTTCCAACAAAATAAAGGGTGGGTGAGTGGGGCTATAAAATTATTTCCACTAATTTTCGAAAATAGTTGAGTGGTCAAAAGTGCCAAAATTAGTTTTATCTTAGCAAATATTGGCCCCGCCCACCCACCCTCTATTTTCTTGGAAGGCATGTGATTTGCTGATTTGCCAAAATCAGTCTTATATTAGCAAATACTAGCTAGCTAAGATAACTGATTTTGGCAAATCACATGCCTTCCAAGAAAATAGAGGGTGGGTGGGTGGGCCCAATACCTGTTTAAATAAGACCGATTTTGGCAGATGGCATTCCCTGCAAGAAAAGTGAGGGTGGGTGGGCGGGGCTAGTACCTGCCAAGATAAGACTGATTTTGGCAAATGATATATTCTCCAAGAAATTTAAATTGTTATAAGAAAAGGCACTAGAAGCTCCAAAGCACTTTAAAATTCTTTTCAAACAGGAATACCTAGAACCTCAAGACTGTTTTAAATTTTTCAAAAAAAAAAACTGGCTTCTAAAATTAACTCAAAAACAGGTCAGGTTAGAATTTTCCAAGAATAGTACATAAATGTCCCCCAAAATTGTTTAAATAATTTACAAAAAAAATCTCCACGGGCTCCCAAAGTAATATACCATGGGTACCCAAACACAGCGGCACTCAAGACTTTTTCAAATTCGTACCTTCCAACAAAATAAATTCTTTCCAAACAGGAATACCTAGAACCTCAAGATGGTTTTAAATTTTTGAACAAAAAAAAAAAACTGGGTCCCAAAATTAACTCAAAAACAGGTCAGGTCAGAATTGCCCAAAAATAGAACACCAAATTCCCCCAAAATTGTTTTAAATAATTTGCAAAAAAATCTCCATGAGTACCCAAACACTGCGGCACTCAAGACCATTTCAAATTCGTACCCTCTAAGAGAGAGCGGGTGGGCGGGGCTAGTAGTTGCTAAGATAAGACTGATCTTGGCAAATGAAATATCCCCTTAGAAAGAGGGGGGTGGGCGGGGCCAATACCTGTTTAAATAAGACTGATTTTGGCAAATGGCATATTCTCTAAGAAAATAAAAGGCGGGCAGGCGAGACTAGAAAATGATTTCCACTAATTTTCAAAAATAGTTGAGTGGTCAAAAGTGCCAAAATTAGTTTTATCTCATCAAATATTGGCCCCTGTCCACCCACCCTCTATTTTATTGGAAGGCATGTGATTTGCTAAAATCAGTTTTTTCTGATCAAATACTTGCCCCGCCCACCCACCCTCTATTTTTTTGGAAGGCATGTGATTTGCCGAAATTAGTTTTATCTTATCAAATACTTACCCCGCCCACCCACCCTCTGTTTTCTTAGAGGGCATGTGATGTGCCAAGATCAGTCTTATCTTAGCAAGTACTAGCTAGCTAAGATATGACTGATTTTGACAAATGACGTATCCTCTAAGAAATTTAATTAAATTATTATAAGAAAAGACACTAGAAGATCCAAAGCACTTTCAAATTCTTTCCAAACAGGAATACCTAGAACCTCAAGATTTAAATTAAAAAAAAAAAAAACACCAATGTCCCGCAAAATTGTTTTAAATAATTTATAAAAAATCTTCATGGGTTCCCAAAATAATATACCATGGGTACCCAAACACTGCGGCCCTCAAGACCTTTTCAAATTCGTACCCTCTAAGAAAGAAAGGGTGGGTGGGTGGGGCTAGTACCTGCTAAGATAGGACTGATTTTGGCAAATGAAATACTCTCTAAGAAAAGAGTGGACGTGGCTAATACCTGTTTAAATAAGACCGATTTTGGCAGATGGCATTCCCTGCAAAAAAAGTGAGGGTGGGTGGGCGGGGCTAGTACCTACCTGCTAAGATAAGACTGATTTTGGCAAATGACGTATCCTCTAAGTAATTTAATTAAATTATTTTAAGAAAAGACACTAGAAGATCCAAAGCACTTTCAAATTCTTTCCAAACAGGAATACCTAGAACCAGAACCTCAAGATTTAAATGAAAAAAAAAAAAAACAGCAATGTCCCGTAAAATTGTTTTAAATAATTTATAAAAAATCTTCATGGGTTCCCAAAATAATATACCATAGGTACCCAAACACTGCGGCCCTCAAGACCTTTTCAAATTCGTACCCTCTAAGAAAGAGAAGGTGGGTGGGTGGGTGGGACTAGTAGTTGCTAAGATAGGACTGAATTTGGCAAATGAAATACTTTCTAAGAAAAGATAGGGCGGGTGGGCGCGGCTAATACCTCTTTAAATAAGACCGATTTTGGCAGATGGCATTCCCTGCAAGAAAAGTGAGGGTGGGTGGGCGGGGCTAGTACCTACCTGCTAAGATAAGACTGATTTTGGCAAATGACGTATCCTCTAAGAAATTTAATGAAATTATTATAAGAAAAGACACGAGAAGATCCAAAACACTTTCAAATTCTTTCCAAATAGGAATAACTAGAACCTCGGGTGCGATTGTGTTTCTCGATCGAAAAAAACTCGATAGCGATAAAATCTCGTTTGCTGATTGGTTGAGATGCTACATTTCTGTCACATTTCTCGATTCTGTCACGAAATCAAGTCTTCATGGAGTGATATTTTCTCGATAGCTCTAAATGAAGTGATCAATTTTGGAGGCATAACCTCGAAATTTATATCAAAATAGAAGTTCAAAATCGTAATTCTGAGTTATAACTTCTTCAAACTAAGGTAATTGTAAACTTTTGAGCATTTAATAAGCTTATATGCAAAGAATAAATGCAAACTTTGCATTTAAAAGCTACGAAATGACATTTATCGCAAGTGATAATTTATCGCAAGTGATAATTTATCACTTCAATCAAGAAACAAAATTCCACCCCAGTCATAAATTTATCTAAAATTAACTGCGAACATTTTAAACGCAGGGTTTTGAAAACTTTGACAATTTTTGAAACGTTAAAATATTTTTAACTACTTATTACTCGATTTTTGCTGATTTGTACCTTCGCTTTCAAATGGAATTTTATCAGATTATTACAAAAACAACACAACCATATCTTTGCACATTCTAACTGAAATGGTAATTAAACATGGGCATGGGCGAGAGAAATATTAACTAAAAGTTTGATTACTAGTTATTGTGATAATGAGTGTGTTGTTTAGTTGTTAAAAGTAGTAAAATAACCAATTTTAAAATTGTTGTCAATATTAATAAATATTATTATTATTAAATGTTACCTTTCGGAGATTTTTGGACGAATTCTTCGACTCTACTAACCCCAGAAGGTGGAAACTGTCCTCGATCGTCTCCTTTTTCGGAAAAAGAAAGTCTTGTCTGCACGAGTGTCGAAAATACGTCTTCGACGCGTGCTGCATACCTAACTTTTTCTACGACAAACTCGAGTTTTGGAAAGGAAAATACGTGAAAGGAAATTAATTTCGGGAATCCAGAGACGAGAAAACGGAGTGGGAAATACAAACGGCCCCTTTACTTTTGTATATAATACTTGTATATTTACGACAGAATACTGTATACAATGTCTAAGTCACAAGACATAAGCGTTCTATTTAACTAGAAAAATATATTATAGATGGCACTTGTACACATAATATACTTTACAGGGAGAGGTTGTCTACGAAAAAGAAATCGAACGGAATTTAGCTGCAAAACGTAGATAATACTTGATCGCGGCTGCGCAAGCCGCCATTTTTAAAACCGAACCAATACTCAGGTGACAAGAATAGAAAAAACAGAGAAAAATTCCTAAACTAAGTTAACGGCTACATATCATACACGAACCTACAACTAAAAAATGAGAGAAAAATCAGACCGGATACATTCAACGAAGTGAAAGAACAAAAAGGAATTCAACACAAACTGGTCTAAATCTAACAAATCACTTACCACTAAGTCTTATCGATAATAATTACTGTTTTCGAGTGGGATGCAGTGGTGCCAACATCCCACCCGATAAATACGATTGTTTATTTTTATTTTTTTACAAAGATCAGAGAATCTGGCACCTAAACAGTGGTGTCTCAGTTGTTGCCTATTTTTTTTACGATCCATGAAACGAAAATGAGGACAATAAATAAAAATGAGGTGAGTGCGGTTCGCTATCGGCTTAAAAATTACTCTGTGTATCACTGGCGTTTCTACAGAAATTCAGCAAGAGGGAACAAGTCGGGAAACGAACAAAAATAAGCGTAACAATTTGTGTTTGTTGTGTTGGTATTGCTTAGTCTCGTAAGCTGCCACTCTATAGATCAGTCGACTGCTTTGGTAATCTTAGTCTAATAAAAAAATGAGATTCTTTCCGTTCCCTTAAATTACAATGGAAGCCTACTTTTGATTATGGTGACGTTGTATGGTAGAAATAAATAGATGAATGATCTCACGATAACACAAAAATATCACGTGGTTCCTCGCGAATGGCAGCCCTATTCTAAATAAAACAAAAAAAAAAAAAAATAATAAAAAAAACTTGAAGGGCAATCTCACATATACAAAATAATCATCTTTTCGGACTAGTACAGTTTTCATTATCAAATATGAGAAGGTTTTTGTACAACTCTAGTTTTCACCAAATTTCCGATTAACCTAATGTCACAACTTCCTACAATATTTTTTCTCTAACCACGACAATATCTTAATATCTTAGAAGACAATTTTCCATTTTTCCTTATCATTAATTTCAATAAATTAACGGCAGAATAAAAAATATTTGGCAGCGCAAAAAATACCTACTCTCTAAGTACAGTCAAAATAAAAAAACTAAATACTGAACCGTATAAAAAAAGTAAAAAATAAATAGATCGCATAAATAGTGTAAAAGAAATAAAAAGTCGCGTAATGGCAAATAAAAGAATCCGCTTTGCTGCTTACTTTAGCTTTGAAACACCCAGCGCTGGTAACTTGTAGTGGACGATATGGTACGGTGGTCCGACCGGGCTGGTGTTGCCCGGCGAGTTGTAGGGTTGCACGGGCATGGGCAGCCCCGTGGGGCCCGAACACGCCCGCCCTCGCTTGCGCCGGGGCAAAATGCCTTTCCTTGCCATATAAAAACGGATTGTCGATATGGGTATATTAAATTGATCACTGACCGTCTGGAAGGTCTGCCCTCGCGTTATGCACTCGGCCGCCCTTCGCAGCTCCTCGTCCGACCGGCGGATGCGGCGATTCGTGGCCGAACCTTCAAACACAAAATAAACAGGTCAATCTGTCACCACAAATGCTCAACTGGGACAGTCTGACGCTTATTATACATTCACGATCTTTATATAGTAAAGTAGGCTTTGATATTTTTTCTTTAAGTGGATTGCCACTTTTCTACTTCATTTGTTATAACAGAATTATTAGACGCAATTTTTTAATCAAGCACACAAATGTTTTAATTTTGTCAGCATAGAGAAATCCAAACATCAAACAATCAAAAAAGAAAAATTCGAAAATATAAAACTTAAAAATCGAAAAAGTGAGAAATCGATAAATCGAAACTCCAAAATTTAAAAAAATTGGAAAATTGAAAAACGCAGAAATCCAAAAATCGAAACGTCAAGAAATAGAAAAAAATTGAAAAATTTTAAAAAAGAAAAATTAAAACATCGAAAAGTTGGAAAAAATTAAGAAATCGAAATATAAAACTGTCGAAAATTTGAAAAATCTAAAGTTTAACGAAAAATTGAAAATGCAAAAAGTAAAAAAAACTATACACTGAAAAATTTAAAAATTGGAAAATCGAAAGACACAACAAAAATTAAGGAAATGAAAAAATAAAAAATTGTGATATAAAATCGAGAAAATAAAAATTAAAAATTCGCCACACTGAAAAAAAAATTGAGAAACTGAAAATTCGAAAAATTGAAGAAATGAAAAATTGAAAAATCGAAAGAAACAACAAAAAATAAAGGAAGTGAAAAAATGAAAATTTGTGACATAAAATCGAGAAAATCAAAATTAAAAAAAAAAAAATCGGAAAATGAAAAACAAAAATTGAGAACTTGAAAAATTGAAAATGAGAAAAATTAAAAACTGAGAATGTGAAAAATCGAAAAATGAGAAACTGTAATACCGAAAATTGAAAAATATAAAGTTTAAAAAACGAAAAACTGAAAAATTGAAGGACTGAAAAATCGAAACTGCGAATTCGAGAAACGGTAAAAGAGAAAAATATATATTTAGGTATTAATCGAAAAATCGGAAAACTGAAAATTTAGCAACGTCAAAATTTGAAAAATTGTAAAATAGAAATACTGAAGAACGGGAAAATAAAAAAATCCAGAAATCGAAAAATCTAAAATTTAAAATACTGAATAACTGAAATATCGCAAAATTGAAAAATGGAGAAATCCAAACATCAAAACATCAAAAAAGAAAAATCCAAACATCGATAAATAGAAAAAAATTGAAAAATAAAAAAATTGAAAAATTTTAAAACAGAAAAATTAAAACATCGAAAAGTTGAAAAAACATTAAGAAATCGAAATATAAAACTGTCGAAAATTTGAGAAAAATCTTAAGAATTGAAAAAGTGAAAAATAAAAAAAAAGAAATATGTATTATGAAATAGAAATATTTAAAATTAAGGAAATTGGAAAATCGGAAGCCTGGAAATCCAAAATCTGCAAAGTAAAAATTTAAAAATTGAAAAATGGACGAACTGAAAATTCAAAGTCCGAAAATTTGAAAAATTGAACAAATGAAAACTGTAAAATCGAAAAAAAAACACACAGAAAATAAAGGAAATGAAGAAACGAACAATTTTGATATAAATTGAGAAAATAAAAATAAAAAATTTGCCACACTGAAAAATAAAAATCGGGAACAAGAAAAATTGTGGAAACGAAAATTTGAGAAACAGAAAATTCGAAAAATTGAAGAAACGAAAATTCGAAAAATTGAAGAGACGAAAAATCGAAAGGAACAACAAAAAATAAAGGAATTGAAAAAATGAAAATTTGTGACATAAAATCGGGGAAATGAAAATTAAAAAAATCGGAAACAAAAAATTGGAAAAGGGAAAAATGAAAAATTGAGAAACCAAAAAATCGAAAAATGAAAATCTGTAATGTTGAAAAATTGCCAAATTGAAAAACTGATGCAAACCGAAAAATTGAAGGAACGAAAAACTGAAAATTTTGGAACTCGAGAAATTGTAAAATTGATAAAAAACAAAAAATTACAAAATTGAAAAATCTTAAGAATCGAAAAAGTGAAAAATCAAAAAAAAAGAAATATGTATTATGAAATAGAAATATTTAGAATCAAAGAAATTGGAAAATCGGAAGACTGGAAATCCAAAAACTGCAAAGTAAAAATTTAAAAATTGAAAAATGGACGAACTGAAAATTCAAAGCCTGAAAATTTGAAAAATTGTAAAATCGAAAAAAAAAAAACACACAGAAAATAAAGGAAATGAAGAAACGGACAATTGTGATATAAATCCAGAAAATAAAAATTAAAAATTCGCCACACTGAAAAATACAAATCGGGAACAAGAAAAATTGTGGAAAGGAAAAATTGAGAAACTGAAAATTCGAAAAATTGAAGAAACGAAAAATTGAAAAATCGAAAGAAACAACAAAAAATAAAGGAAATCAAAAAAAGAAAAATTGTGATATAAAATCGAAAAAGTGAAAATTAAAAAATCGGGAAAAAGAAAAATTAAAATCGGAAACAAAAAATTGGAAAAGGGAAAAATGAAAAATTGAGAAACTAAAAAATCGAAAAATGAAAATCTGTAATATTGAAAAATTGCCAAATTGAAAAACTGATGCAAACCGAAAAATTGAAGGAACGAAAAACTGAAAATTTTGGAACTCGAGAAATTGTAAAATTGATAAAAAACGAAAAATTACAAAATGAAAACTTGAAAAATCTTAAGAATCGAAAAAGTGAAAAATCAAAAAAAAAAAGAAAAATGTATTATGAAATAGAAATATTTAAAATTAAAGAAATTCGAAAATCGGAAGACTGGAAATCCAAAAACTGCAAAGTGAAAAATTTAAAAATTGAAAATGGACGAACTGAAAATTCAAAGCCTGAAAATTTGAAAAATTGTAAAATCGAAAAACGAACACACACAGAAAATAAAGGAAATGAAGAAACGGACAATTGTGATATAAATCGAGAAAATAAAAATTAAAAATTCGCCACACTGAAAAATAAAAATCGGGAACAAGAAAAATTGTGGAAACGAAAAATTGAAAAATCGAAAGAAACAACAAAAAATAAAGGAATTGAAAAAATGAAAATTTGTGACAAAATCGAGAAAATGAAAATAAAAAAAAATCGGGAAATGAAATATAAAAATCGAGAACTTGAAAAATTGAGGAAATGAAAAATTGAAAAATGAGAAACTGTAAAATCGAAAAATTGCAAATCGAAAAATTGAAAAATTTAGAAGTCAAGAAACTGTAAAATTGAAAAATCAAAAATAAAAAAAAACGAAATAGTTTATGACGAAAACTTGAAAAATGTCAAAAGTGAAAATCAAACATGAAAATTGGAAGAAACGAAAATTTGAAAAATCTAAAGATCAAAAATTGAAAAACTTAAAATTCGAAAAAGTGAAAAATAATAAAAAAAGAAATATCTATGCATTGTAAAATCAAAATATTGAAAATTAAAGCAACTGAAAAACTGGAAAATCGAAAAACCGAGAATCCAAAAATCGAAACATCCAGAAATAGAAAAAAAATTGAGAAATTGATAAATTGAGAAATTGAGCATCCAAACATCTGAATTCTATAAATCGAGAAATAAAAAAAATTGAAAAATTTTAAAAAAGAAAAATTAAAACATCGAAAAGTTGAAAAAAAAATAAGAAATTGAAATATAAAACTGTCGAAAATTTGAGAAATCTAAAGTTTAACGAAAAATTGAAAATGCAAAAAGTAAAAAAAAACTGTAAACTGAAAAATTTTAAAATTGGAAAATCGAAAGAAACACCAAAAATTAAGAAAATGAAACGTAAAAAATCAGGAAAATGCAAAATAAAAATCGGGGAGTTGAAAAATTGAGGGGACGGAAAATTGAAAAAGGGCACAATTAAAAATCGAGAATGTGAAAAATGAGAAATTGTAATATTGAAAAATTGGAAAATTTGGAAGTCGACAAATTGTAAAATTGAAAAATCGAAAATAAAAAAACGAAAAAGTGTATAATTAAAACCTAAAAAATGTACAAAGTGAAAATCAAACTTGAAAATTTGAAGAAAATTGCTAAAAACCTGAAAATTTGAAAAATTTAATAAAGGAAAAATTGTAAAATTGAAAGAAACAACAAAAAATAAAGGAAATCAAAAAAAGGAAAATTGTGATATAAAATCGAAAAAGTGAAAATTAAAAAATCGGGAAAATGAAAAATAAAAATCGGAAACAAAAAATTAGAAAAGGGAAAAATGAAAAATTGAGAAAATAAAAAATCGAAAAATGAAAATCTGTAATATTGAAAAATTGCCAAATTGAAAAACTGATGTAAACCGAAAAATTGAAAATTTTGGAAGTCGAGAAATTGTAAAATTGATAAAAACGAAAAATTACAAAATGAAAACTTGAAAAATAAAAAAAAAGAAATATGTATTATGAAATAGAAATATAGAAATTGGAAAATCGGAAGACTGGAAATCCAAAAACTGCAAATTGAAAAATTTAAAAATTGAACAAATGAAAAATTGTAAAATTGTGACATAAATCGATAAAATAAAAATTAAAAATTCGCCACACAAGAAAAATTGAGGAAACGAAAAATTGAAAATGACAAAAATTAAAAAATGAGAATGTGAAAAATCGAAAAATTGAAAAATTTAGAAGTCAAGAAAGTGTAAAATTGAAAAATCAAAAATAAAAAAACGAACAAGTTTATGATGAAAACTTGAAAAATGTCAAAAGTGAAAATCAAATATGAAAATTTGAAGAAACGAAAATTTGAAAAACTTAAAATTGGAAAAAGTGAAAAATAAAAAAAAGAAATATCTATGTATTGTAAAATCAAAATATTGAAAACTAAAGAAACTGAAAAATTGGAAGATTGTAAATCCAAAAACTGCAAACTGAAAAATTTTAAACGTGGAAAATCATAGAATTGAAAAATGAAAGTCCGAAAATTTGAAAAACTGAATAAATAACGAATTGTAAATCGAAAGAAACAACAAAAAAATAAAGGAATTTCCATTTCTAAGAAGAGTGGGCAGAACGAACTGATGATTGAAAATTAAAGATGAGATTCATATAAAAACAATGTTTAAGTGAAATTTTAGTGTTTGTTCCTTATTCCTTGTTAACTTGGTCATTTTTTAACCTTTAATTTAATAAAACATAACAGGGAATTTTTATTCTTCTGCATTGAATACCAACAAACTCACTAGATTTTCATGGCCAACCCTACTATATAAAATCGTGAACGCATAATAAGTTCCGCGCCTTACCTGGGGTGCCGTCATACTGACACGACACGTTCGCGATGGCAAACTCCGGGGTCTTATTGAGATCATTAGTGTTGATGGCCACATCCTCCTCCAGAAACTCCGTGTCCATCAAATCGCTCTCACCCTCATAGTAAGAGTCATTGTCCCCCACCTCTTCCTTCATCTCATGTTCTGGGAAAAATTTTCTTAGGTGGTTGGTAGGCGGCATTGACGTGAGTTTACCTTTGTGTTGGACGCCGTCATTAGAATCACATTCGGACGACGACGGATTATTCCCGCTCTCTGAGCTCTCCAATTTCTCTTCTTTTTTCACGTCCGGTTTCACGTCGTGGTTTTTATTATCAACTGAATTATTAATAACTGGCTTGGCCTAAACGCAGTCGTATTAGAAACATTTAATTTGAAAAGTGAGGGGTTTACTTGTGGTTTGAGAGCTCCCAGCTGCTGCTGACTCAACAACTGATCGTGCCCGCACAACCCCCGAATCTGCAAGGCCTCCGCGCTCTTCAGCAACGACGGTAAATCGTCCTGGGTGACGTTCACTTCGCCTTTGTACATGAAATCGACGAGGGACTGCATCTCTTGGAACCTAAATCGAGCAATGATTATAATTGTCACTATTGTGTAACTAAAACTCACTTCATGTCCTTCATGAAGATGATGGGGTGCTGGCAAGGATTGTCAAGGAGTAACTTCTCGAAGTAGGTGGAGCACGCCGACAGGACGACTTTGTGGCACTTCAGCATCTCGTTCTCGCACGCCAACGTGACGTCGACGAAGTGCTCCGAGTTGAGAAGTTTGGGAAAGGCATTCTGGAGGTTCGACTGGTAACTGTTCCACCGGACGCAGAACTGCTGAGGAGGCGTCACCATCTTCGATTGATTCCAGTAGCTGGTTCACTCGAGACTCATTAGAGCAAGGGGGCGGTGTATATTCCTCCAAAAATAGATTTTTCAATGTACAGGCGTCCAAGTCCTGGAAAAAGCGCGACGTTCTTAAAGCGGCAGCCATTTTGTTTAAACAATCAATGTGGGAGCCTGTGCGCTTTATAAACAACAAAAACACTAGCTTTTTTGGGGTCTCGGCATGTGGGCATGGAGTCGTCTTTGTCGCACTTATTGGGACGCTATTTGAATACGTGCGGAAAATTCCGGCAAGGAAGCAAAAATTATGGCCAAACATAACCTAACTATAGTGAGTGGCGAAAACGGGGTAAAAACGCGTGAAAGCGGGGTTGGGGTGCCCGGGGTGAATTTCGCCAAATTTCCAACGAGTTAATAAACCCCGTGACGGGTTAATAAGTCGTTAATTGGGGTTAATTAGGTGCGAAAAGGGGCGAAATGGTCACTCCGGGGGGTTCAAGCGATCGCAGAAGGCGTCGTTTAAAATAAACATTACATAAAAAGCAAGCTTCGCCATATTGGTTAACCCCTAAATAATAGCTATGAAAAAATATACAACAAAAACAATATTTCCGGCGATAATTGGGTGTTAATGAGTGAACGAACAGTGTCGGGGGGCGCGCCACCACTTACCCTTGCTTTAAGAACACAATTCGAGTGCCAGCACTGAGAAAAATGCGTAAAAAATCGATAAAAACTTTTAATGCAAAATGTTCACTTAAATAATTATATTGCTTGTAAGGGCCAATCACCGACTTGAGTTCGCCTCGGCGGTGTCGCCGAAGACGCACGTTAGAAGCATGTAAGAAACGCGACGTACGTCCGAGCTCGGACCGGCGCACTACAATATTTACTTTCCGAGATCCAGGGGGTGTACTATTCAATTTTAAAATATAAACAAGCAGGCTGTGCCGCCGCTCTCGCCGCCCCCGGCCGCCGCTGCGCCCCTCTTTTCGTCGGAAACACGCACTCCGCGCTCGCACCAGCCCCAATTTCCCGCAGGAGCCGCCACAAAGCCGAAAACGTGCTAACAATTCTAAATATAATATTTATATATAGACCCCCGCCATTTGCAATTTTGCCGGCTTGGTACAGTCCGCGCAAGCAACGGGAGGGCCGCCGCCGACAAATGCCACGCGAACGAGGCCGGGGGTGGCGAGGACGCGGCCAAAAACATCACGCGACGCCCCGATCGACGTCGCGACGCTGGCCAGCGCGGAAAAAACGCGCAAACGGGGGCAGAAAAGGCGGCTGACAGATGGGACGGGAGTGTACTGTAAACAATTGACGGTAAGGGCGGCAACGCTCAAATTTACATAAATTCAGGGAGTGCGTCATGAAAATTGTTAATGCGTCATGCGTCGCGACGCCGGGCTTAACAATAACGCTGCTAAATACGGCGAGATCGAACGGGTTTTCTTCGGACGAGCAGGGAGGGAAGGGTGGATTTCGAACGCGGGCGATGCGATCGGGAATTAATCGAACATTTTTGGTTAAAATTCATTGGAAAATATTAAACACGGACAAATTCCTTTGTTAATGAAAATTCTCATCTCCAGGAATCAAAACAGAGAAATCGAGGATTAATGCGAGCTTTGACACAGTAAACGATGCTGTAGCGAAACACCCACTTTCCACAACAAAAGTCTTGGCCAATAGAGTGCGTTTACGCCCCTTTCTCCAGCCGTTGATTGGTTACGTCTTCCATTTGGCGCAAAGTTTAAAATTTACGAACTTTATTGGTCCATTTGGCGCAAAGTCAGGTCAGGTCAAGTTAACCACAATCAGTTCAGGTTAGGATAAATCGGGTTAGATTAACCCAATATAAGGAAACCTCGACCCTACGAAATAACAAATATTTGCTATTTTATGAAAAAAAGTGTATTTTAACTGTTATTTAATTAAAATTGGTAAAAGTTTGTAATGACAAAAAAAAAAAGTTTTAAAAACCCTTTTAATAAAAAACGATTTTTGAACATCTCTGATCAGGTCAGTTCAAGTTAGGTTAAGTCAGATTAAATCAGCTAAGATTGATTTAATTTTAGTCAGGTCAAGTCAGGGCAGGATTAATCAGAGGATATCTCAATTTAAATTAGGTCGGGTCAGTTCCTAGTAAATTGGAGTAGATTAACTCAATTTCCTCCCTTTTGTTACTTTTTTTCGCCTCACTTTTTTTCTAATCTTTTTTTGTGTTCACTTTTTTTTGCCTCTTTTAATCGCCCTTTTTTAACTCTTTTTGTTGCCTTTTGTTCCTTTCCTCAAAATTCTAAAATTTTTACTGTAACTTCTGTACTTCAATTTTTTTTTAAATACATATTCATATTTCTGCGTGCACTTTTTTTTATTTAATCCATGTAAACTTGTGTATTTTTTATAAAAAGAAACTTATTCAAATATTATTAAAAATGATAAGAATTTAACGTTTCATGCCAATTTCGTACTAATAAGGAGTGAATGTAAATTAAAAAACCTGATTTTTTATTTTTCTACCTTGATTTTTTACCTTGATTTTTCTACCTTGATTTGTCTACCTTGATTTTTCTACCCTGATTTTCTACCTTGATTTTTCTACCCTGATGTTTCTACCCTGATTTTTCTACCTTGATTTTATACCTTGATTTTCCTACCTTGATTTTTCTACCTTGATTTTTCTACCCTGATTTTTCTACCCTGCTTTTTCTACACTGATTCTTGTACCCTGATCATTGTACCCTGTTTTTTGTACCTTAACCCTTGTAACTTGATCCTTGGAGTTTGATCTTTGTACCCTTATTGTTGTACCTTGATCCTTCTACTCCGATCTTTGTACCTTTACCCTTCTAGCTTTGATCTTCGGACTTTGATTTTTCAGTTTTTCGAATCTTCAGTGTTTCGATTCTTAAATTTCTCCACGAAACGATTTTTGGATTTTCTCATTTCTAGATTCCTGTAATTTTCAAATTAAAAAACTGAATAATCGAATTTTCAGTTTTTTAATTTAATTTTTCTATTTTTTAATTTTCTAGTTTTTAATTTTTCGGTTTTTCATGTTTTTATTTTTTTACCTTGATTTTTCCACATTGATTTTTCTACCCTGATTTTTCTACCTGATTCTTGTATCCTGGTTTTTGGATTTTTGTACTCTGATTCTAGTATCCTGATTCTCGTATCCTGATCCTTGTACCCTGATCCTTGTACCCTGATCCTTGTACCTTGATCCCTGTACCTTGAGCCTAGTACCTTGAGCCTAGTACCTTGATCCTTGTATCTTGATTCCTCTCCCTTTATTATTGTACCTTGATTGTTGTACCTTGATCCTTGGACCTTGATCACTGATTCTTGTACCTTGATCCTTCTACCCTGTTTCTTGTACCTTGATCTTTCTACCTTGATCCTTGGACCTTGAACCTTGAACCTTGATCCCTGTACCTTGATCCTTGCACCTTGATTCTTGTACCTTGATCTTTGTACCTTAATTCTTGTACTTTGATCCTTGTACCTTGATCCTTGTACCTTAATCCTTGCACCTTGATCCCTATAACTTGATCCTTGGACATTGATCCTTGGAGTTTAATCTTTGTACCCTGATTCTTGTACCTTGATCCTTCTACCCTGATCCTTGTACCTTGATCCTTCTAGCTTTGATCTTGCGACTTTGATTTTTCAGTTTTTCGAATCTTCAGTGTTTCGGTAAATTTCTCCATTAAATGATTTTTGGATTTTCCAATTTCTAGATTCCTGTAATTTTCAAATTAAAAAACTGAATAATCGAATTTTCAGTAGTTTAATTTAATTTTTCTATTTTTTAGTTTTTCTATTTTTTAATTTTTTTATTTTTTAATTTTTCTGTTTTTCATGTTTTTATTTTTCTACCTTGATTTTTCCACATTGATTTTTCTACCCTGATCTTTGGATTTTTGTACTCTGATTCTCGTATCTTGATTCTCGTATCCTGATCCTTGTACTCTGATCTTTGCACCTTAATTCTAGTACCTTGATCCCTGTACCTAGATCCTTGTACCTTGATTCCTCTCCCTTTATTATTGTACCTTTATCCCCGTACCTTGATCCTAGTACCTTGATCCTTCGACCTTGATCATTCTACTTTGATCATTGTACCTTGATCATTGTACCTTGATCCTTCTACCCTGGTTCTTGTACCTTGATCCTTCTACCTTGATCCTTGGACCCTGATCTTTGTACCATGATCCTTTTACCTTGATCCTTTTACCTTGACCCTTGTACCTTGATCCTTGAACTTTAACCCTTGGACCTTGATCCTTGGACTTTGATACTTGAACCTTGATCTTTCGATCTTGATCCTTATACCTTGATTCTTTTACATCGATCCTGGTACGTTGATACTTGGACTTTTATCCTTGGATCTTGATTTTTACACCTTGATCCTTGGACCTTTATACTTGGGCATTGATCCTTGGAGCTTGATCTTTTGACATTGATCCTTGTACCTTGATCGTTGTACCTTGATCCTTGTTCCCTGATCCTTCTACCTTGATTCTTCTATTTTGATCCTTGTACCCTGATCCTTCAACCTTGACACTTGTACTTTGATCCTTCTACCTCGATCCTTGTAGCCTGATATTTGTATCTTGATACTTGTACCCTGATGCTTGTACCTTGATTCTTTTACATTGGACCTTTATACTTGGACATTGATCCTTGGAGCTTGATCTTTCGACCTTGCTTCTAATACCTTGATCCTTGTTCTTTGATCCTTATACCTTGATCCTTGTACCTTGATCCATCTACCTTGATTCATATAACTCGATCCTTATACCTTGATCCTTGTACCTTAATCCTTGTACCTTGATTCTTATACCTTGATCCATGTAACTTGATCCTTGTACCTTGATCCTTGTACCTTGATCCTTGTTCCCTGATCCTTCTACCTTGATCCTTGTACTCTGATTCTTGCACCTTGATTCTTCTACTTTGATCCTTGTACCCTGATCCTTGTAGCTTGATCCTTCAACCTTGACACTTGTACCTTGATCCATCTACCTTGATCCATGTAACTTGATCCTTGTACCTTAATCCTTGTTCCCTGATCCTTCTACCTTGATCCTTGTACCCTGATTCTTGTACCTTGATCCTTCTACTTTGATCCTTGTACCCTGATCCTTGTAGCTTGGTCCTTCGACCTTGACCCTTGGACCTTGATCTTTCGACCTTGATCCTTGTATTTTGATCCTTTTACATTGATCCTTGTACCTTGATCCTTGGAACTTTATACTTGGACATTGATCCTTGGAACTTGGTCTTTTGACCTTAATCCTTGTAGCCTGATTCTTGTACCTTGATCCTTGTACCCTGATGCTTGTACCTTGATTCTTTTACATTGGACCTTTATTCTTTGATCTTGATCCTTATACCTTGATACTTGGACCTTTATACTTGGGCATTGATCCTTGGAGCTTGATCTTTTGACATTGATCCTTGTACTTTGATCGCTGTACTTTGATCCTTGTTCCCTGATCCTTCTACCTTGATTCTTCTACTTTAATCCTTGTACCCTGATCCTTCAACCTTGACACTTGTACCTTGATCCTTCTACGTTGATCCTTGTAGCCTGATCCTTGTACCTTGATCCTTGTACCCTGATGCTTGTACCTTGATTCTTTTACATTGGACCTTTATCCTTGGATCTTGATCCTTATACCTTGATACTTGGACCTTTATACTTGGACAATGATCCTTGGAGCTTGATCTTTTGACCTTGCTTCTAATACCTTGATCTTTGTTCTTTGATCCTTATACCTTGATCCTTGCACCTTGATCCATCTACCTTGATCCTTATACCTTGATCCTTCTATCTTGATCCTTGTACCTTGATTCTTATACCCTGATCCATGTAACTTGATCCTTGTACCTAGATCCTTGTTCCCTGATCCTTCTACCTTGATCCTTGTACCCTGATTCTTGCACCTTGATTCTTCTACTTTGATCCTTGCTCCTTGATTCTTCTACTTTGATCCTTGTACCCTAATCCTTGTAGCTTGATCCTTTGACCTTGACCCTTGGACCTTGATCTTTCGACCTTGATTCTTGTATTTTGATCCTTTTACTTGATCCTTGTACCTTGATTCTTGTACCTTGATCCTTGGAACTTTATACTTGGACATTGATCCTTGGAACTTGATCTTTTGACCTTGATCCTTCAGCCTTAATCCTTGTAGCCTGATTCTTGTACCCTGATCCTTCTACCTTGATCCTTTTACCTTGATCCTTCTACCCTGATCCTTGTACCCTGATCCTTTTGCCTTGATCCTTAGTTCTTGGACCTTTGTCCTTGGATCTTGATCCTTATACCTTAATCCTTGTACCTTGATCCTTGTACATTGATCCTTATACCTTAATCCATTTCCCTTAATCCATGTAACTTGATCTTTGTACCTTGATCCTTGTACCTTGTTCCTTGTACCTTGATCCTTTTACCTTGATCCTTTTACCTTGATCCTTTTATCTTGATCCTTGTACCCCGATCCTTGTGCTTTGATCCTTGTATCTTGATCCTTGGACCTTTATACTTAGACATTTATCCTTGGAGTTTGATCTTTTGATCTTGATCCTTGCACCTTGATCCTTGTACCTTGATCCTTGTACCTTGATCCTTGTAACTTGATCCTTGTTCCCTGATCCTTCTACCTTGATCCTTGTATCTTGATTCTTCTACCTTGATACTTGTACCCTGATCCTTGTACCTTGATCCTTCTACCCTCGTCCTTGTACCTTGATCCTTCTAGCTTTGATCCTGCGACTTTAATTTTTCAATTTTTTTTATCTTCAGTGTTTCGATTCCTAAATTTCTCGATTAATCGATTTTTTTATTTTCCCATTTCTAGATTTTAAAAAACTGAAACATCTATTTTTCAGTTTATTAATTAAATTTTTCGATTTTTTAATATTTCAGTTTTCCATGTTTTTGATTTTTCTACCTTGAATTTTCTACATTAATTTTTCTACCTGATTCTTGTACCCTGATTTTCGGATTGTTGTACCCTGATTCTCGTATCTTGATCCTTGGACCTTTATACTTAGACATTTATCCTTGGAGTTTGATCTTTTGATCTTGATCCTTGCACCTTGATCCTTGTACCTTAATCTTTGTACCTTGATCCTTGTACCTTGATCCTTCTACCATTGATCTTGCGACTTTGACTTTTCAATTTTTCGAATCTTCAAGGTGTCGATTCTAAAATTTCTCGATTAATCGATTTTTTTAGTTTCTCACTTTTGGATTTCTCGAATTTTCAATTTAAAAAACTGAAAAATCGAATTTTCAGTTTTTTAATGCAATTTTTCGATTTTTTAATTTTACGGTTTGCCATGTTTTTGATTTTTCCACCTTGATTTTTCTACCCTGATTTTTCTATCCTGATGTTTGTACCCTGATACTTGTACCTTGATTAGCTTTGATTTTTCAATTTTTGGAATCTTTAAAAAACTGAATAATAGAACTTTCAGTTTTTTAATTTAATTTTTCGATTTTCTATGTTTTTTATATTTCTACCTTGATTTTTTTGCCATGATTCTTTTAGCGTGATTTTTTACCCTGACTTTTCTACTCTGATTTTTCTACCCTGATCGTTTTACCTTGATCCTTGTACCTTAATCCTTGGACTTTGATCCTTGGACCTTGCTCTTTTGACCTTGATCTTTTTCATTTGTTTTTTATTTAAACTTTTTTTAATATTATATATTTTGTTATTTATATATTTTTTAAAGCCAAAATGTGGTTGTCTCCACTACAATATTTTTGTTTCACTTATTACGCCTTAATTTACTCAGTGTTTAAATTGTAATCAAATTTGGCACGTTACGTAATCCCAAACAGTACTTACACTTCCACAATTCAGTGTTTTTATTTAAGTCACAACATTTTTTGCTCTTTCATTTATCTAAATTCCCAGTCCCGTTGCATGATTTTCGCTCAAACTTCCGCTACCGGCTCCTCAAACTGTGTCACACACCACGCTACCAACCACACCGCCGTCCAACCTTCGCCCAAAAATCCCCAACTTTTCCACCATCCCGAACCAAACCTCAAATTTAAATCCGCGCAAAACACACAACGCAAAAAAGTGCCACAGACAAAGACAGCCCCCGAAAACCAGTGTTTACGCTCGGGTGCGTCATTCCAAAATCACCATTCCACAATCGCCCCCATTTCCACGTTTTCCAAGATTGCACAACTGGCAAATATGAGCTCGTCTCTGCCCCCCAAAATAACCAAGTTGAACCCAGCGGCGTACAAGAAACTCGCCGCTTTAAACCTAGAGTACGGCACGGCCCCCACGAAGTTCGGGAACTGCCTCGGCGCCTTCCGGGGCAACGCTCTGTGCTACCTCAGTTTCTTCGACCACAGCCCGCCGTCCCTAGACGAGATGAAAAAAATGTGGCCCGAGGCCTCCTTCACCGAGAACGAGTTGCTGATTTCGTCGAAGTTGACTAAGTTGTTCGAGGATGAGTGTACTAATTTCGAGATTTATCTCAAAGGGACGGATTTCGAGATCGAAGTGTGGGAGGCTTTGTTGCGGATTAAGAGGGGGACGACTGTGAGTTACGAGGAGGTGGCGAAGTCCATAGGGCGTCCGAAGGCGACTAGGGCTGCCGCTAGGGCCATCGCGAGGAACAATATCGCCTACTTTGTACCTTGTCATCGCGTTATTAGGAAAGACGGTTCGTTGCATAAGTACGGAGGGGGGCCCCATAGGAAAGCCAAGATGCTCAGGGACGAAGGGGCCATTTAAGCGCCGTTACATTGATACATTTATTGTACTTATATCGAAGGTCATACAATATATATTTTTTTTTACAAAGTATGGTCCTTTTTCTACTATCACAGATTAAAAAATCATCAATTTAACGGGCGGTTGCGGACTTGTCCGGCTTCGGGCACGTCCGCAACCACGTGAAACTCAAAATAGAACATCTATACTTTAACAATTCCTTCCACCTTGAGATAGCGTGATTGAAGTCGGATCAATCGCACCATATCAAGTTTTTTTTCATCATAAAAAATTCAACATAGAAAACTTTATGTTTGGTTGATTACCATATTACACTTTTTGGCAACTATATTTATACATTTACAGTATTTTACAATATTTACACAATGTACAGATGTGGGAGAGGAAAAAACACCACCGAATCTATAACTTACTGCAACACTTCATACTTACATAAAATACGTAATAAATACAACAAGTTTGTACAACGTGTCACCTGTGCGTTACTCGAGAAACCAACAATACCTACAAAATTTCAAAAAATTGCGATGTTGGGTTAGTTTCAGCCGGCCGGAAAAGTGAGGTTATGTCATTTGGAAGCACCTGTTTCACCAGAATCGTGTAACTGCCGGATGTAGGTCCCTATAAGCTCTGAAGCGCGCGTTACAAAATTTGTATCAAAGAAACGAAAAAAAGCAAGTCAAAATTTCCATTTTTTCGAAGACAACATAACCTCACTTGCACCCCGACCGTCTGTCGTAAATGTGGTGCTTGCTTGCTTGCGTAGTTGAACAGGGCCCCTCGACCGTGTTTGCTTGCCTTGGTTTGGCCTTCGGGGCCACATTTCGGTTTATTAGGGTAGTTCGTGGTGACTGAAAAAGTGAGGTTATGTCATTACACTTTCTTTCTTTTTACATTTAAATAAATGCAATCTCGTCGTCGTCGTCCTCGTCTCGTTTTAACCCCAACCCGTCATTTACTTCTTATAATTTCTATCAGAAACTCGTCACCAATCTTTATTTATCTGAGACAACATAACCTCACTTTCGCACCCGCCCCTTCTATGTGGTCGTGGTGCTCGGATACTGGAACATGGGTCCGGTGACCATATCGGCCGACCTCGCCGCCGGCCTCGGGGGCAACCTGGGGGTGGTCTGCCCCACGGTCGAGTCGTACCTGGGCGATATGCTCGAGGGTTGATTCTGCGGGATTCTGAAACAGCCCCCATTAAAATCTCTTTCGTGTTAATTCGATACTTACATTGCCCCTCCGTTGGCGGTGCTGTGCGCAGGCGCCGACCTCCGCGGCACCTGGGGCTGCACCGCCGACAGCCTCCTCATGTACAGCTGCGACGTGTACGTGGGGTTGAGTCGGGGCATGGTGCCGCCCCCGAAGGAGTTGAAGGAGGAGTGGTGCGACTGGTGGAAGTGGGAGCTGGGGGAGGAGCCGGGTTCGCCGCGGCGGGGCGGCAGCGGCGGCGGGAAGCACTCCCGCCACGAGTGGTCCGCGTTGGCTTTGAGCGACGGCGAGCCGATCTCGGGGCTGTCGCGCCGCCGGCGCGGAGGTAGTGGCGGCGGCGGCGGGGGTGGAGTGAGGGGAAGACGGGGGCTGTTGGGCTCGTAGGGGGCGGGGACGGGGCCGGGGGAGGCGGGGCTGTGCGGGCCGGGGCTGTTCAAGCCGCTGGAGCTCTGGCTGTGGTGCGAGTATTTCGAGCTGAAAAATATGGGAAATCGTTAAAATTTATTGGTTTATCCCCTCCCAAAGCAGTGATGACGTCATCTCAAAATTTTGCCTTATTCTGTCTTTTGCAAAAATTGCAATTTTTCGATATTACGATTTTTCGATTTTTTTTTAGTTTCTCAATTTTCATTTTACAGTTTTTCGTTTTACAATTTTGAAATTTTTCTATTTTCTTTATTCAAAAAGTTGAAAAATCCAAAAACTTAAAAAACGACAAAATTGAAACACTGAAAAACTAAAAATTGGGAAACTTAAAAATCGAAAAAAAGGAATGAATCACAAAATTGCAAAGAAAAACGAATTGAATAAGAAAATTTGAAAACCCAAATTGTTTTTTTTTTAATTTGTTTACATTCAAAACTGGAAAAATTGCAAATCAAAAACTGGAGAAACGAAAAATTATAAAATCAGAACTTTGAAAAACTAAAAAATTCGAAAAATAGATGAAAATTTTGAAATTGCAAAATCTAAAAACTGAAACATCCAAAAGTCGGAAAATAAAAAAAAATGAAAAATTCAAAAATTAAACTCAAGAGGTGCAAATCAAAAAATTGGAAGAAACGAACAATTGAAGAAATTAAAATTGAAAAAACAAACAATTATAAAACCGGAACATTGAAAATTCGAAGAATTGTAAAAATGAAGAAAATAAAAAACTGAAGCGAAAAATTGTAAATCGAAAATTTGAAGAATCGAAAAATTGAAAATCAAAAACCGAAAAACTGAAAAATGTAAAATTGAAAAAACGAAAAATTAAAAAATGTAAAAGTCGAAAAATTGGAATACCAAAAAACTGAAAAATCGAAAAATGAAAACTCCCAACAATTGTATGTCCTAAATTGAAAAGCACAAAATTACAAAATGGGGACACTGAAAAATCAAAAAATTGTAAAAATTAAGAAAATAAAAAAACAAAAAAAAAAAGAGAAATTCCAAAATCGAAAAATTTTAATTATTATTGCAAAATTAAATGAAATCTAGAAAAATTGAAAAACATCTAAAATTGAAAAAAACAAACTGTTAAAAAAATCAAAAATTTGTAAAACCGAAAAATTGCAAATCGAATAATTGAAAAATCCAAAAATTGAAGAATTTCACTTTGAAAAAAATATATATATACAAAATCAGAACACTGAAAAATGAAAATTTGAAAAATCGAAAAAATGAAACATCCAAAATGTGGAAAATTGAAAAACTGAAAAATTTCAAAATGAAAACGCCAAGAGTTGCATGTCCTAAAGCGAAGAAAATACAAAAAATTAGAAGTCGAAGAATTGGAAGTAATGAAAACTTGAAAAAAATTGAAATTGCAAAATTAAAAAAATTATAAAATCGGAAAATTGAAAAATCACAAAATTGTAAAAATAAAGAAAATAGAAAAACGGAACGAAAAAGTGCAAATCGAAAAATTGGAAAATCAAAAAAATGAAAAAGTTTTAAAATCCATTTTTTACAATATTTCGTTTTTTCATTTTTGGTTTTTCAAATTTACAATTTTGCAATTTTTCCATTTTTCTGATTCAAAACGTTAAAACCGAAAAATTAAAAATTGAAAAACTGAAAAAAACGGGGAAAAGAAAGTTTTGAAATAGGAGTTTTTTTAAATACTTCCTTTTTTAAACTTTTAAGTTTCTCAATTCCAAAATCGAAAAATCATGAAACTGAAAAATCTTTAAATTGAAAAAGAAAAAATAAATAAAAATCTAAAAGTTGAAAAATCTGAAAATTCAAAAACAAAAAATTATAAAATCAGAACATTGAAAAGCTGAAAAATTGAAAAAATAAAGAAATTAAAGAAAAAACGAAAAATTAAAAATCGAAAAACTGAAAAACGAGAAATTCCAAAATCGAAAAAGTGGAAAATTGAAAAGTTGCATATCCAAGAACTGAAACTAAAAATTGAAAAATCATGAAACTGCAAAAACTCTAAAATTGTGAAAAAGAAAAAAATTCACATTGGAAAACGCTAAAATTATAAAATCAGAAATTGAAAAAAGGAAACATTGAAGAGACAAAGAACTAAAGAAAATAAAAATTGAAAAATCAAAAAAATATAAAATCGGAACATTGAAAAATCGATAAAATATAAAATCGGAACATTGAAAAATCGAAAAATTGTAAATGTAAAGCAAATAAAAAAACGAAATGAAAAATTACAGATCGAAAATTTGAAGAAATGAAAAAGTTTCAAAATCATTTTTTTTATATTCCGTTTTTTGGATTTTTAAGTTTCTCAATTTTTTATCTTTTGATTTTTCAATTCTTCCAGTTTTTAGATATTTCAAAATTTTCATTTTATACTTTTTCATTATATAAGTTATAATTTGCATTTTTTCCACTTTTTTATTCGAAAAGTTAAAATCGAAAAATTAAAAGTTGGAAAACTGAAAAAACATGAAATTCAAAAATCGGAAAATTTCATATCGAAGAATTGGAAAATTATGAAACTGAAAAAAATTGTCGAAAAATTGTAAATATAAACCAAATAAAAACCCAAATGAAAAATTTGAAGAAATGAAAAATTCAAAATCGAAAATTGAAAAATCGAAATGAAATGAAAAACTTTTAAAACTTTTTTTTAATTCGTTTTTTCCAATTCAAGTTCTTGATTTCCAATTTTTAGATATTTCAAAGTTTTCATTTTATACTTTTTCGTTTTTTCATTTTTGTGATTCCAGAAGTTCAAATCGAGAAATTCAAAATGGAAAAACTGAAAAAACGAGAAATCCCAAAAAAAAAGTGGAAAATCGAAAAATTGCATGTCGAAGAGTTGAAACGAAAAATAAAGAAATTTAATTATGAAACTGAAAAATTTCACATGGAAAAAAGGAAAAATTATAAAATCAGAACATTGAAAACCCGAAAATGGAAAAAAATAAAGAAATGAAAAAATCCAAAAATTATAAAATCGGAACATTGAAAAGCCGAAAAATTGAGAAATAAAGAAACTAAAGAAAATAAAAAATTCTAAAATATATATTTTTTTAATATTTCGTTTTTTCGATTTTTAAGTTTCTCAATTTTTTATTTTTCGATTGTTCAAATTTTTTTTTTGATTCGAAAAGTTAAAATTGAGAAATTAAAAATTGAAAAACTGAAAAAACGAGGAATTCCTTAATCGAAAAAGTGGTACAAAAATTGCATTTCAAAGAACTGAAACGAAAAATAAAAAAATCACGAAACTGAAAAATCTCAAATTGAGAAAAAGAAAAATTAAAAGGAAAAATTTCACATTGTAAAAATCTAAAATTATAAAATCAGAAATTGAAAAGCGGAAAAATCGAAAAAATATTAAATTGGAACATAAAGCTAATATAAAGCAAATAAAAAAACCGAAATGAAAAATTGCAGATCGAAATTTTGACGAAAGGGAAAATTCAAGAATTTAAAAAAATGGAAAGTCGAAAAAATGAAAAACCTTTTTTTTTTAATTCCGTTTTTCGATTTTTAAGTTTCTCAGTTTTTAATCTTTCGATTTATCAATTCTTCAAGTTCTTGATTTCCAATTTTTAGATACATATTTCAAAGTTTTCATATTATACTTTTTCGTTTTTTCATTTTTGATTTTTCAAATTTATAATTCTGCAAATTTTCCATTTTTTTGAGTCGAAAAGTTAAAATCGAAAAACTGGCCAACGAAGGAATGAAACTGAAAAATCTAAAATTGAGAAAAAGAAAAATTAAAACGAACATTTTTTAATCTTTTTGTAATTTTTCCATTTTTTGGATTCGGAAATTTAAAATCGAACAATTAAAAATGAAATTCCAAAATTGCAAAAGTGAATAATCATGAACCTGAAAAATTTCACAATGAAAAAAAAATCATAAAATCAGAACACTGAAAAGCCGAAAATGGAAAAAATAAAGAAACGAAAAATCCAAAAATGATAAAATCGGAACATCGAAAATCGAGCAATTTGGAAAAACAAAGCAAATGAAAAACCGGAACGAAAAATTGCAGATCGAAAATTTGAAGAAATGAAAAACGCAAGAATTTAAAAATTGAAAAATTAAAATTCCAAAAATTGAAAAGTCGAAAAAATGAAAAAGTTTTAAAATCATTTTTTTATATTCCATTTTTTCGATTTTTAAGTTTCTCAATTTTTAATCTTTCGATTAAAATTCTTTTCGATTTTTCAATTCTTGACGTTTTTGATTTACAATTTTTAGATATTTCAAAGTTTTCATTTTACACTTTTTCCATTTTTATTTATTCGAAAAGTTAAAATCGAAAAATTGTATATCGAAGAACTGAAACGAAAAATTGAAAAATTATAAAACTGAATAACGGAAAAATTATAAAATCAGAACACAGAAAAGCCGAAAAATTATAAATGTAAAACACGTTAAAAAACCGACATGAAAAATTGCAAATCGAAAATTTGACGAAATGAAAAATCCAAGAAACGAAAAATTGAAAAGTTGAATAAATAAAAAAGTTTTAAAATCCATTTTTTAACATTATTTCGGTTTTCAATTTTGCACTTTTTCGATTTTTAACTTTCTCAATTTTCAATTTTTCGTTTTTTCGCATTTTTGATTTTTCAATATTACAAATTTGCAATTTTCCTTTTTTTTGATTCGATAAGTTGAAAAATCGAAAAACTAGAAAATCGGAAAAACTTAAAAACCAATAAAAATAAAATTAAAAGAACAAAAAAATTGGAAAAAAGAGAAAACGAATGGAATCGAAAAACTCTCACACTGAAAGATCGAAAAATTGAAAAATCCAATAATTGAAAAACCGAAAAACTGAAAAATTTAAGTCAAAATTTGCAAAAACAACTTTACACTTGAGTCAAAAATTACGATACTAAACCCCATAATTATTATATATGTATGATTACTTAAGACATAGATGGAAGCCAGTTTTATATCCCCCTTTATTTCTCTAGTGTGTACCCACCTTTGTGGGGGCGGCGGCGGCGGATTGCGCATCGACCCCGTCGAAATCGAGCTCACACTCGAATTCCGACTGTGATTAGACTTGGGGGCCCAGTTGAGAATCGGGTTGGAGGCGGCCGGCGACACCGGACTCAGCGTCGGACTATTCTGGCACGTCCCCAGCTGCACCGACGCGAACACGCTGAACTCGTTATCCGACTTGGACGAATCCTCGCTCTTCGAATCGTCGCTCTTAATATTCGACGAATTCAACGTGGAGTTGATGGCGTTATTCAGCGCCGTGGCCAGCTGCTTCGTCGACTTCGACTTGATCCCCGGGCTCTTCAAGCTCAAATTCGGCCACCTCCTGGGGAACTTCAGCACCTGCTTCACCCCCCGCGGCTCGATCTCCAGCGACTTGTGGTACAGATAGTTGCTGATCTCCGTGTCCACCATGTCCCCGAACGGGTTCAGGTTCTCCAGGAAGTGGCGGATCTTCGGCTCCACGCTGAAGCAGTACGGCTGGTTCTGGTACTGCTGGATCTCCCCGGTGATTTCCGCGACTTTTCTCCGCTTGAAGAAGTTGATGAGTTGGGTGTTGGGGAGGAAGTCGGGGTTGCCCTCCTCGATGTGGAGGATGTTGGTGAGGTACATGCCGAGGAAGGGGACGCAGGGGGGGTTGATGGAGCGCAGTTTCTCTTGGTATTTCTTGAAGTGGTCGTCGGCGCGGCACTCCTCCAGGGCTTTGCGGTTCTGCTGGGTGAGGTTCTGGAAGGTGAGTTTGAGCCGGTGGACCGACGCAGACGCGCACGTGGACACTATGGAGAGGACGCCGTTGAAGTTGTTGATTTCGTAGAGGACGATGAGGATTTCGATGATGCGGTTCACTATGGCGACGCGCTCTTCGAAGTTTTCGGCCTCGACGATGGTTTTTTCCAGCCAGCGGCCGACCTGACGAAGGAAAATTTCACAGTTTTAGATGAAATTTCACTCCGTTTTGCTTACGTTTGTGGTGTGTTTGATCATTTTGAGTAAATTCGGGCTGGACGACTCCTTGTCTTTCTTCGTCCAGACGGCTCCCACCAGCTCCGAGGGTTTTATCATGCGGTAAAGGTCGAACTCCAGGATGGTTAATTGTCGGGCTATTTCCACTGGATGTAGGGTCAGAATGCCGTAGTCGGATTCCGTGCAGGGTATGTGCCATTCGATCGGAGGCGGCGGCTCGTTGAAGGCGAACTTGATGTGTCTTTGCGAATCGTTTTCTTGCTGTAACCAAAAAAAAAGTTTGAAGGTTATTTTGTAAGAATTTTCTCAGCTCCCTGAAGTGCAGCCCAACAAACCCGCTTGAAAAATAATAAAGTTTCTCGAGTTTTCGATTTATAATTTTTCAGTTTTTCATATCTACAAATTTTCGTTTCGGCTTTTTATCTTCTTTATTTTTACAATTTTTCGATTTTTCAGTTTTGCGATTTTTCAATTTTTGATTTGCAATTTTTCTTTCTTGATTTCGTTTTAAATATGTGATAATAAAAATAATTTAAAAATTGTTCCATTTTTTCATTTATTCGACTTTTCAATTTTTCATTTCATTAATTTTACAATTTTTCAAGTTTTCAATGTTTCGATTTTATGTATAATTTTTTGTTTAGTTTTCGTTTTCTCAGTTTTTCAATTTTCATTTTTAAATTTTTCAGTTCTCAATTTTCCAATTTTCAAAATTTTGCAATTTTTCGGTTTTTCAATGTCCTGATTTTATAATTTTTCTTTTTTTCAATGTGAAACCTCGCAATTTTTCAGGTTTCAATTTTTCGATTTTTCGCTAAACCTTCAATATTGAATTGAAATTTTTCCAGTTTTCATTTTAATTGTGTAAATAATAATAATCATCTTTAAAATTTTTCACTTTTGATCTTTTCATTTATTCGACTTTTCAATTTTTCATTTTATTAATTTTAGAAATTTTCAAGTTTTCAATGTTTCGATTTTATGTATAATTTTTTGTTTAGTTTTCATTTCCTCAGTTTTTCAATTTTCATTTTTAAATTTTTCAGTTCGCAATTTTCCAATTTTTAAAATTTTGCAATTTTTCGGTTTTTCAATGTCCTGATTTTATAATTTTTCTTTTTTTCAATGTGAAACCTCGCAATTTTTCAGGTTTCAATTTTTCGATTTTTCGCTTAACCTTCAATTTTTGAATTGAAATTTTTCCAGTTTTCATTTTAATTGCGTAAATAATAATAATCATCTTTAAAATTTTTCACTTTTGATCTTTTCATTTATTCGACTTTTCAATTTTTCATTTCATTAATTTTACAATTTTTCAAGTTTTCAATGTTTCGATTTTATGTATAATTTTTTGTTTGGTTTTCGTTTCCTCAGTTTTTCAATTTTCATTTTTAAATTTTTCAGTTCTTCAATTTTCCAATTTTTAGATATTTCAACTTTTAAAATTTTTCACTTTTCATCTTTTCATTTATACGACTTATCAATTTTTCAATTTTTAGCTTTTAATTTTTCAAATTTTCGAATTTCCAATTTTTCATTTCATTAATTTTTGCAAGTTTTCAATTTTTTTTATTTTTTTATTTTACGATAAGAAACTGTTTTTGGATGTTTCAATTTCCATTTCATGAGTTCTCAATTTTTTATTTCTTTAATTTTTCGTTTTTCAATGTAAAACTTTTCAATTTTCTGATAAACTGAACAAAATTGGGAACTAGAAGTGAAAAATCGATACATTTTCCCAGTCCAAAAATCAAAGTCGGGAGACCAAGGTCGAAAGATCAAAGTCGAAAAATCAAATTCGAGAGATCAAGGTCGAAAAATCAAAGTAGAAGGATTAAGATAGAAGCATCAATGTAGAACCAGAAATAGTAGAAGGATCAAGGTAGCAGCATCAATGTAGAAGTATCAAGGTAGAACCATCAAGGTAGAACAATCGAACAATTGAGAAATAAAACTGAAAAATCGAGAAAGTGAAAAATTCAAAAATCAAAGTCGATAAGTCAGAATAGAAGAATCAAGGTCGAAACGTCAAAGTAGAAGGATTAAGGTAAAAGGATTAAGCATCAAGCTAGAAGCATCAAACTAGAACGATCAAGGTCTCTACCTTGAAGATCAAGGTCGAAAAATCAAGGTAGAAAAATCAAGGTCGTGAAATGAATGTCGAAAGATCAAAGTGGAGAAATCAAGGTGAAAGCATCGATGTCGCAGCATCAAGGTAGAAAGATCAAGGTGGAAAAATCGAGGTGGAAAAATCGAGGCGGAAAAGTCGAGGCGGATAAGTCGAGGCGGAAAAGTCGAGGCGGAAAAGTCGGGGCGGAAAAGTCGAGGCGGAAAAGTCGAGGCGGAAAAGTCGAGGCGGAAAAGTCGAGGCGGACAAGTCGAGGCGGAAAAGTCGAGGCGGAAAAGTCGAGGCGGAAAAGTCGAGGCGGAAAAGTCGAGGCGGAAAAGTCGAGGCGGAAAAGTCGAGGCGGAAAAATCGAGGCGGAAAAATCGAAGTAGAAAAATCGAGGCAGAAAAAGCGAGGTAGAAAAATCTAGGTAGAAAAAGCGAGGTACAAAAATCGAGGTAGAAAAATCGAGGTAGAAAAGAAAAATCGAGGTAGAAAAGAAAAATCAAGGTAGAAACATCTAGAGAAAAATCAGAATAGAAAAATCAAAGTAGAAACATCTAGAAAGAAATCAAGGTCGTGAGATCAATGTCGAGAGGTAAAGGTCGAAAGATCAAAGTAGAAGGATCAGGGTGGAAAAATCAAGGCAGAAGGATCAAGGTAGAAACTTCAAGGTAGAAGGATTAAAGTAAAAGTATCAAAGTCGAAAAATCACGGTAGACGGATAAAGGTAGAAGGATCAAAGTGGAAAAATTAAGTTAGGATCAAACTCGAAAGATCAAGGTAGTAAAATCAGGGTTGAAAAATCAAGGTAGAAAAATCAAGGTTAAAAATCAAAAGAAAAATTAAGGTTGTGAAATCAATGTCGAGAGATAAAGGTCGAAAGATCAAAGTTAGAAGGCTCAAAGTGGAAAAATCAAGGTAGAAGCACCGATGTACAAGCATCAATGTAGAAGCATCTAGGTAGAAATCAAGATAAAAAACAAAGTAGAAGAATCAAGCTCGTGAGATCTATGTCGAGAGACAAAAGTCGAACGATTAAAGTAGACGGATCAAAGTGGAAATCAAGGTAGAAGCACCAAGGTAGATCGATCAAGGTAGAAAAATCAAGAGAAAAATCGATAGATCAAAGGAATCAAAGTCGAAAAGTCAAAGTAGAAAAACCAAGTCCGAGAGATCAAAGTGCAAAAATCAAGGATCAAGGTAGAAGGCTCAAAGTAAAAGTATCAAAGTCAAAAAATCAAGGCAGAAGGATCAAGGTAGAAGAATTAAGTTAGAAGGATCAAGGTAGAAGGATCAAGGTAGAAAAATCAGGGCAAAAAATTCAAAGTAGAAAAATCAAGGTCGAGAGAAAAGTGGAAAAATCAAGGATCAAAATAGAAGCATCACGGTAGAAGGATCAAAGTAAAAGGATGAAAGTCAAAAAATTAAGGTACAAGAATCGAAGCCGAAAGATCAAGGCAGAAGGATCAAGGTAGAAAAATCGAGTTCGAGAGATAGAAGGATCAAAGTGGAAAAATCAAGGTGGAAGAATTAAGGTACAAGGATAAAGGGTACAAGGATTAAGGCAGAAGGATCAAGGCAAAACTACCAAAGTGAAAAAATCAAGGTAATATAATCAAGGTACAACGATCAAATTCGAAAGATAAAGGTAGAAGGATCAGGATAGAAAAATCAGGTTAATAAAATCAAGGCCGAAAAATCAAGGTGTAGAGAAAAGTGGAAAAATGAAGGATCAAGGTAGAAGGAACAATCAAGGTAGAAGGAACAATCAAGGCAGAAGGAACAATCAAGGCAGAAGGAACAATCAAGGCAGAAGGAACAATCAAGGTAGAAGAATCAAAGTAAAAGGATCAAGGTAGAAGAATCACATTCGAAAGATCAAGGTAGAAAAATCAGGATGGAAAAATGAAGGTGGAACAATAAAGGGAAAAATATCAAGGTAGAAAAATCAAAGTCGAAAGTCAAAGTAGAAATATCAAGATCGAGGATCCAAAGTAGAAGGATCAAGATAGAAGCAACCAAGTGGAAAAATCATGGTAGAAGAATCAAAGTGGAAAAATCAAGGTAGAAGCATCAAGGTAGAAAAATCAGGGTACAAAAATCAAGGTAGAAAAATAAAGGTAAAAAAATCAAAGTAGAAATATCAAGGTAGAAAATTCAAAGTCGAAAAGTCAAAGTGGAAAAATCAAGGTAGAAGAATCAAGATAGAAGAATCAAGGTAAAAGGATCAAGGTACAAAGATCAAAGTGAAAAAATCAAGGAATAAAAATCAGGGTAGAAAAATCAAAGTCGAAAAGTCAAAGTGGAAAAATCAAGGTCGAGGATTCAAAGTAGAATCATTCAAGTCGAAAAATCAAGGTAGAAGCATCAAAGTGTAAAAAACAATGTAGAAGGATCAAGATAGAAAAATCAGGGTAGAAAAATATACGTAAAAAAATCATAGCAGAAATATCAAGGTAGAAAAATCAAAGTCGAAAACTCAAAGTAGAAGAATAAAGGTCGACAGATCAAAGTAGAAAGATCTGGGCAGGAGCATCAAAGTGGAAAAATCAAGGTAGAAGGATCAAGATAGAAAAATCAGAGTAGAAATCACAAGGTAGAAAAATCGAGGTCGAGGATCCAAAGTAGAAGCCTCAAAGTCGAAAAATCAAGGTAGAAGGATCAAGACAGAAGAATAAGGTAAAAGATCAAAGTGGAAAAATCAAGGTAGAAGGATCAAGTTAGAAAAATCAGGGTAGGAAAATAAAGGTAAAAAAATCAAAGTAGAAAAATCAAGGTCGATAGATCAAAATAGAAGGATCTGGATAGAAGCATCAAGGTGGAAAAATTAAGGTAGAAGGATCAAGGTAGTAGGATCAAGGTAGTAGGATCAAGGTAGTAGGATCAAGGTAGAAAGATCAAGATAGAAAAATCAAGGTCAAGAGATCAAATCAGAAGGATCAAAATGGAAAAATCAAGGTAGAAGGATTAAGGTATAAGGATCAAGGTAGAACGATTAAGGTAGAAAAGTCAAAAAATCAAAGTAAAAGGATCAAGGTAGAAGGATCAAATTCGAAAGATCAAGGTAGAAAAATCAAAGTAGAAAAATCAAGGTAAAAAAATCAAAGTAGAAATATCAAGGTAGAAAAAACAAAGTAGAGAAATCAAGGTAGAGGGATCAAAGTTTAAAAATCAAGGTAGAAGAAGCGAAGTCGAAAGATCAAGGTAGAAGGATCAAGATAAAAGGATCAAAGTCTAAAAATCAAGGTAGAAGAATCGAAGTCGAAAGATCAAGGTAGAAGAATCGAAGTCGAAAATCAAGGTAGAAGAATCAAGACAGAAAAATCAAGGTCGAGAGGTCAAAACAGAAGGATCAAAGTGGAAAAAATTAAGGTAGAAGGATCAAATTCGAAAGATCAAGGTAGAAAAATCAAAGTCGAAAAGTCAAAGTAGAAAAATCAAGTTCGAGAGATCAAAGTAGAAGCATCAAAGTGAAAAAATCAAGGCACAAGGATCAGAGTGGAAAAATCAAGGTAGAAGGATCAATGTAGAATAATCAAGGTCGAGAGATCAAAATAGAAGGATCAAAGTGGGAATATCGAGGTAGAAGGATTAAGGTATAAGGATCAAGATAGAAAGAATAAGGTACAAGGATCAAGGTAAAAGTATCCATGTCAAAAAATCAAGGTCGAAGGATCAAATTCGAAAAATCAAGGTTGTGAATCAATGTCGAGAGATAAAGGTCAAAGTAGAAGCATCAAAGGTAGAAGGCTCAAAGTGGAAAGATAAAGGTCGAACGATTAAAGTAGAAGGATCAAAGTGGAAAAATCAAGGTAGAAGCACCAAGGTAGATCGATCAAGGTAGAAAAATCATGAGAAAAATCGGTAAATCAAAGAAATCAAAGTCGAAAAGTCAAAGTGGAAAAATCAAGTTTGAGAGATCAAAGTGGAAAAATCAAGGATCAAGGTAGAAGCATCAAAGTAAAAGGATTAAAGTAGAAGGATTAAGGTAGAAGGATCAAGATAGTAGGATAAAGGTAGTAGGATCAAGGTAGAAAGATCAAGATAGAAAAATCAAGGTCAAGAGATCAAAACAGAAGGATCAAAATGGAAAAATCAAGGTAGAAGGATTCAGGTATTAGGATCAAGGTAGAAGGATTAAGGTAGAAACGTAGAAAAGTCAAAAAATCAAAGTAAAAGGATCAAGGTAGAAGGATCAAAGTCTAAAAATCAAAGTTGAAAAATCGAAGTCGAAAGATCAAGGTAAAAGGATCAAAGTCTAATAATCAAGGTAGAAGAATCGAAGTCAAAAGATCAAGGTAGAAGGATCAAGATAGAAAAATCAAGGTCGAGAGGTCAAAACAGAAGCATCAAAGTGGAATAATCAAGGCAGAAGGATCAAAGTAGAAAAATCAAAGTCGAGAGATCAAAATGGGAATATCGAGGTAGAAGGATTAAGATATAAGGATCAAGGTAGAAAGAATAAGGTACAAGGATCAAGGTAAAAGTATCAATGTCAAAAAATCAAGGTAGAAGGATCAAATTCGAAAGATAAAGGTAGAAAAATGGAGGTATAAAAATCAAGGTAAAAAAAATCAAAGTGGAGAGATCAAAGTAGAAGGATCAAAGTTGAAAAATCAAGGTAGAAGGATCAGGGTAAAAAAATCAGGGTAGAAATTCAAAGTAGAAAAATTAAGGTAGAAAAATCAATGTGGAAAAACCAGTCGAAAAATCAAAGACCTGAAAAACGGAAAAATCTAAAAATCGAAAAACTGAAAAACGGAAAAATCGAAAAACTCAATTAAAACACTGAAAATTCGATTTTTCAGTTTTTTAATTTGAAAATTCGAGAAATAGAGAAATTTAAGAATCGAAACACTGAAGATTCGAAAAATTGAAAATCAAAAATTTAAAAATTGGAAAAAATGAAAAACAGAAATATCGGACAACCAAAAAATTGAAATATCGAAAAATCTAAAAAATTTATAAGTTAAAATATTGAACAATTGAGATATCGAAAAATTGAAAAATTCAAAAACCTAAAATTAAAAAAATTGAAAAATTCAAACATCGAGTAGTCAAAAAATCGAGAAATCGAAAATCCAAAATTTAAAAGAACGAAAAAATTGCACGAGTTTCCAATTTTTTATTCTTCAATTTTTGGATTTTTCAATTTCTCAATTTTTGGGTTTTTCATGTTCCCATTTTATAGTTTTTCTTTTTTAGATTTTTCAGTTTCCTGATTTTCCAGTTTTTCGTTTTTTCAATTTTTGATTCGCAATTTCTCTAGTTTTCAATTTAAATATGTAATAATTCCACTTTTCAATTTCTCAATATTTAATTTTGCAATTTTTCAGTTTTTCTTAACTTTTAACTCAAAAATTGGAAACTGAAAATTTGAAAAATTGAAGATTTGATGAAATAAAAATTTACTTAAAAGAAATTGGATAATCAAGGAATTGAAAAATCAAAGACTGAAAATCCGAAAAATTGAATGAACGAAAAATTGTGATATAAAATAAAAAAATTGGTTCTATAGTTTCAAAGTCAAATTCCAAATGTTATAAAATTTTGATTTTTTTTTCCCAAAAATCTGACGACTCAGACCCGGTTTACCGAACAGAGGGAGCTATAAAAGTGCGTGTTCTATTCGTTCAATTTTGATATTATTGTATAAGCTTTGACACTCACTTTGTAGACACGTGATCACTCCATCTGTTCGATAAACGAACTATAGCCCCCCAGTCCCAAACCGTACCTTTCTGTGTAAAATCTTCAAAACGCTGTCCACCCACTTCCGCATACTCTTGCCGTTCACGCTATCCAGGAAGCTCTTCAGTTTGACCAGCAGCGACGGATCCCGCTCAAAATCGTAAAAATGATGGTCGACCCAGTGTCTCAAAACATTCAAAACCCTGAACTGCACCGGCTGGCAGTACTCCTTCCTGTACTTCTTCCAGTCCTCCCTCTGGTTGTTCTTCTGCATCTTGTCCGTGTCGCAGCAGTCTTGTTCGTACACCAGCGACGGATCCGGAATCTGAAACCTACACCCCCGCATTACACCAAGCTTTCCCGTCCCCGCCACCCACCTCTCAATGAGCAGATCCAGCAGCTCCTTCGGCGAGCAGAAGCTCCTGTACGTCGTCAGGAACGTCCGGACGAACTTCGGGTCGGCGTAGATGTGGTACGTCAGTCTTTCCACCAGCTTGTACAGCGTGGCGCCCTTGATCAGCGGCACGCCGCCGTTCTCGCGCGGCTCGAGGATGATGTTGTCCTCGGAGTCGGGGTCGGCGAACTTGTAGAGCGACGGCGGCGGCAGCTTCAGCGGGTGCTTCCTCTCGATGTCGGAGAGGATGCTGTCGAGGATGCGCTCGAGCATCGAGCGGGTGTTCAGCATGACGAGGTCGGCCATCCAGGAGTTCTTGTCCTCGGCGGTCTTGGCGCAGAGGATGACCGAGGGCTGCATGTGGCGCGGGGCGATCTCGAAGGCGTTCTTCAGCTCGTCGGTGTCCTGGTGGTCGATGATCTCGACCTTGCGGATGAAGAAGCGCTCCTTGAGGCGGCACTCGGCGTGGTTCTGGTGCACGGAGCTCTGGCGGCGCGTGTTGGGCTTGCAGAGGATGAGCAGGCCGTCGAAGAGGAAGACGCGGCGCTCGGTGAGGCGCTTGCCGGAGCTCACCTGGGGGATCGATAGTTGTCAGTCATGTTTATATGTTTTTTGGGAAATTAGTTATATTTAAAAATTTATAATTTCGCCATTTTTAAAGATGGAGGTTTGGAATTTTTGACAAAATTTTTGAGTTTTCTTGGTTTAATAAATGTATAAAAACGAAAAAACAACCCATATGTGAAGAAATCGGAGCATCAAATTATTATAAAATTCGAAAAATCCAAAAATGTAAAATTTTAAAATACCAAAAAATTGAAAAATTGAAAAATCTAAAATTTAAAAATCGAAAAACTAGAAATTAAAAATAGAAACATCGTAAAATTCAAAAACTGACATCGAGAAATCAAAACATCAAAAGTTCGAGAAATCGAAAACTCGAGAAGTCGAAAAATCAAAAAAATTGGGAAACCAAATCAATCCCAATCATCGAAATCGAAAAATCAAAAAAACTTCAAAATGTAAAATTTTAAAAGTTGAAAAACCGGGACATTGTATTGAAAAATCGAAGCATTAAAAAATCATAAAATCGAAAAATTTAAAAATCAAAAAATTGAAAAATCGAAAAGTTTAAATTAATATCGAGACCTCAAAAAATCGAAAAATTGAAAAATCTAAAAGTCAAAAAACCGGAAAATCTAAAATTTTAAATATAAAAAAAAAATAGAAACTGAAAAATCGAAAAACTAAAAAATCGAGAAATTGAAAAATTCCAAAACTGAAATCACGAAAAATTGGGAAAACGAAAAATTAAAAATCGAAAATTCGTAAAATTGGAAAATAGAAAAGACGAAAGGTCGAACAATTGAAAAACTGCCGTATCGAGAAATCAAAAAATTGAGAAACCTAAAAATCAAAAAAACCTCAAAATGTAAAATTTGAAAAGTTGAAAAACCGGGAAAATGTATTGAAAAATCGAAGCATTAAAAAATCATAAAATCAAAAATTCAAAAAACTGAAAAATCGAAAAGTTTAAATTAATATCGAGAGATCAAATAATCGAAAAATTGAAAAAAAAAAAGAAACTGAAGAATCAAAAAACTAAAAAATCGAGAAATTGAAAAACTCCAAAACTGAAATCACGAAAAATTGGGAAAACGAAAAATTAAAAATCGAAAATTCGTAAAATTGGAAAATAGAAAAGACGAAAAGTAGAAAAATTGAAAAACTGAGAAATCGAAAAATTCAAAAATTGACGTATCGAGAAATCAAAAAATTGAGAAACCGAAAAAATTACCGAAATCGAAAAAATCGAAACATCGAAATCTCGATGACCCGAGAAATTGTAAAATCAAAGAACTGAAAAATCGAAAAATTGAGACATGGAGACATCAATCAAAAAAACGAATAATTAGAGAACCGAAATTATGAAAAATCTGAAACTGAAAAAATGACCAAGATAGAAAATTTGAAAACTGAACGATAAAAAAATCGAAACATCGAAATATTGATAAACCGAGAAATCGAAAAATTGTAAAATCGAACTGAAAAACAAAAAAATCAAAAACTGCCAAATCTACAGTTTGAAATATTGGCAAATCCGAAAATTGGAACATCGAAAAATCGAAAAATTGAGAAATGGAAATATTGAAAAATTACAAAACTGAAAAATCCAAATATTCAAAAGTCGAGAAATCTAGAAATAGGAAAATAAAAAATCAATTAATCAAGAAGCAAAACACTGAAGAGTAAAAAAATTGAAAAAAAAAATCGAAAAATTGAGATATCGAGACGAAAAAATCGAAAAACCGAAGGATTGAAGAATCAAAATTTTGGAAAATCTGAAAACTGAAACCGAAAAAATGACCAAAATCAAAAAATTGAAAAAGTGAACACTAAAAAAAAAATGGAAGCATCCAAATCTCGATAAATCGAAAAATTGCAAAGTCGGAGAACTGAAAAATTGAAAAATTAAAAAAACTGCAAAATCTAAAATTTGAAAAATTGACAATTCGAAAAATTGAAAAATCAAAAACCTGAAAAATCGAAGAATTAAAAAACTGAAAAGTTGAGAAATCGAGAAATGCGAAAAAATCGATTAATCAAAAAATAAAAAATTGAAGAATCGATAAATTGAAAAAATTAAAATATCGAGACATCAAAAAAACGAAAAACAGAAAAATTGAGCAATAAAAAAAATCGAAACGTCCAAATCTCAATAAACCGAGAAATCGAAATTTTGTAAAATCAAACTGAGAAATCACGACATTCAAAAGTCGAAAAATCGAAAAATCGGAAAAAAATCGATTAATTGAGAAGCGAAAAATTAAAAAGTCGAAAAATTGAGATTTAGAGGTACCAAAAATTGAAGAATTGTAAAATCGAAGAACAGAAATATCAAAAATCAAAAAACTGCAAAAATTGACAAATCAGAAAACTGAGAAATAAAAAAGCTGAAAAATCAAGAAATTCAAAAATTGAAAAGTTGAAAAATCCAAACACTGAAAGGTCGAGAAATCGAGAAATGAGGAAATAAAAAATCAATAATCGGGAAGCAAAAAATTGAAGGGTCATGGTTGAAGGATCAAGGTAGAAAGACCAAAGTGGAAGGCCCAAAATCGGGGGACCAAAGTCGAAAGATCCATGTAGAAGGACCTAGGTAGAAGATTCAAGGTATAAGGATCAAAGTCGGAGGACCAAAGTCGAATGACCAAAGGCCAAGGACCAAAGTCGAAAAATCAAGGTAAAAGGACCAAAGTCGAAAGATCAAGGTAGTAGGATCAAAGTAGAATGATCAAGGTGGAAGGATCAAAGTCGAAGGACCAAAATCGAAGGATCAAGGCAGAAGGATCATAATAGAAGGATCAAAGTAGAATGATCATGGTAGAATGATCAAAGTAGAATGTTCAAAATAGAAGGATCAAGGTAGAAGTATCAAGGTATAAGGATGAAGGTAGAAGAATCAAGCGAGAAAAATTAGGGTAGAAAAATCAACGCATAAGGATCAAGATCGAAAAATCAAGGTGGAAGTATCAAGGTAGAAAAATTAAGATGGAAGGATCAAGATGGAGGCATCAAAGTAGAGGGATCAAGGTGGAAGGATCGTGGTAGAAGGATCAATGTAGAAAGATCAATTTAGAAGGATCAATGTAAAAAGATCAAAGTCGAAAGTTCAGGATAGAAGGATCAAAGTAGAATGATCAAGGTGGAAGGATCAAGGTGGAAGGATCAAGATGGAAAGATCAAGGTAGAAAAATCATAGTAGAAGAATCAAGGTAAAAGGATCATAGTAGAAGAATCAAGGTAGAAGGATTAAGATAGAACGATCACGGTAGAAAAATCAAGAGAGAAAAAAATCACGATAAAAGATCAAAGTTGAAATATCAAAGTACAAGGATCAAGGAGAAAAATCAAGGTATAAGGATCAAGTTAGAAGTATCAAGATAAAAGGATCAAGGTGGAAGAATCAAGGCAGAAGAATCAAGGCAGAAGGATCATGGTAGAAGGATCATGGTAGAAAGATCAAGGTACAAGGATCAAGGTACAAGGATCAAGGTAGAGGGATCAAGATAGAAGGATCAAGGTAGAAAAATCATAGTAGAAAAATCATAGTAGAAAAATCATAGTAGAAGAATCAAGGTAAAAGGATCATAGTAGAAGAATCAAGGTAGAAGGATTAAGATAGAACGATCAAGGTAGAAAAATCAAGAGAGAAAAATCACGATAAAAGGATCAAGGTCGAAATATCAAAGTACAAGGATCAAGAAGAAAAATCAGGGTAGAAAAAACAAGGTCGTAAGAACAAAGTGGAAAAATCAAGGTAGTGGATCAAGGTAGGACCAAAGTCGAAAGATCAAGGTAGTAGGATCAAAGTAGAATGATCAAGGTGGAAGGATCAAGGTAGAAAGATCATAGAAGAAGCAAGGTAAAAGGATCATAGTAGAAGAATCAAGGTAGAAGGATTAAGATAGAACGATCAAGGTAGAAGGATTAAGATAGAACGATCAAGGTAGAAAAATCAAGAGAGAAAAATCACGATAAAAGGATCAAAGTACAAGGATCAAGGAGAAAAACCAAGGTATAGGGATCAAGTTAGAAGTATCAAGATAGAAGGATCAAGGTGGAAGACTCAAGACAGAAGGATCAAGACAGAAGAATCAAGGCAGAAGGATCATGGTAGAAGGATCAAGGGACAAGGATTAATGTAGAAAAATGAAGGTAGAAGGACCAAAGTCGAAGGATCAAGGTACAAGGATCAGGGTACAAGGATCAAGGTACAAGAATCAGGGTAGAAAAATCAGGTTAAAAAAATCAAGGTAGAAAACTCAAAGTTAAAAAATCCAAGTCGAAAAACCAAAAACCTGAAAAACCAAAAAATTAAAATAAAAAACTGAAAATTCGGCTTTTCAGTTTTTTAATTCGAAAAATTGAGATTTAGAGATATCAAAAATCGAAACATTGTAGAATCGAAGAACTGAGAAATCAAAAAGCTGAAAAATCAAGAAATTCCAAAGTCGAAAAGTCGAAAAATTGAAAAATCCAAACACTGAAAGGTCGAGAAATCGAGAAATGAGGAAATAAAAACTCAATAATCGAGAAGCAAAATTAAAAAAAATCGAGAAGTCCAAAAATTTGAATTCTAAAAAGTTGAAAAATTAAAATTCCATAAATTGAGATCAAAAAATCGAAAAACCGAAACAGGCCAAAGTCGAAAAATCAACAGGTTAAAAATTAAAAAATCGAAGAATTGTAAAATGGCAAAATCGAAAAATTCGAAAAATTTAAACAAGGAAGACATGAAAAATCAAAAAACCGAAAAACTGAAGAGTGGAAATATATATTAAACAAAAAAATGAAAAATCTAAAATTTGAAAAATTAAAATATCAAAAAATTGAAACATCGAGACGCTAAAAAATCGAAAAATTGAAAAAACCAAAAAATAAAAAACCGAGAATTTAAAAAATTTAGAAACTGACAGATCGAGAAATCGAAATATGGAGAACTTGAAAAATCGAAGAAATCGGAAGATTGAAAAATAGAAAAATTAAAAATTCGAAAATTCTGAAATCCAAAAGCTGAATATCGAAGAAAAACTGAGAAATAGAAACAGACCAAAATCGAAAAATCAACAGGTTAAAAATTAAAAAATCGAAACATTGTAAAACGGCAAAATTGAAAAATCGAAAAATTCGAAAAATTCAAACAGGGAAGACATGAAAATTCAAAAAACCGAAAAACTGAAAAGTGGAAATATGTATTAAAAAACAAAACAATGAAAAATCTAAAATTTGAAAAATTCAAATATCGAAAAACTGAAACATTGAGACGTTAAAAAATCGAAAAATTGGATGATTCAAAAATTTAAAACTTAAATATCGAAAAATTGAAAATTCAAAAAAGTGTAAAATCTAAGATTCAGAAATTCGAAAAATTCGATATTTATATCGAAGACTTGAAAAATCGAAAACCCGCTAAATTGAAAATAGCATTATAAAACAAAAAAAAAAAAAAAAAATCAAAAATCTAGAATTTAAAAATTTAAAAAACCAATATCCAAAAATTAAAAAATTAATATCGAAAAATTGAGATATCGAGACATCAAAAAATTGAAAAATTTAAAAACGGAAGATTCGAAAAATATAAAAGTCGAAAAACCGAGAAATTGAAACGAAACATAGAAAGATCGAGAAATCGAAAACTCGAGAATTCGAAAAATCGACAACCTAAAAATTGAAAAATCGGCAAATTAAACAACGAACAATAAACGCGAAAAATCGAAATTTCTAATAAATTGAGAAATCGAAGAATTGAAGAATCGAAAAAAACTGAAAAATTAAGAAATTGAAAAGTCGAAAAATTGGAAAATCCTAAAACTGTAACATTGGAAAATTGTGAAATCGAAAATGAAGAAATCGAGAAATCTAACATTTGAAAAATCGAAAAATCCCAACACTGGAACTTCGAAAAATTGAGAAATCGAAAAACTGAAAAATCGTATAATTGAAACATTGGAAAATTGTGAAATCAAAAAATAGGAAAATTGAAGAATAAAGAACCGGAAAAATCCCAAATCGGAAACATCGAAAAATTGTGAAATCGAAAGTTGAAAAATCGAGAAATCGAAAAGCCGAAAATTCGAAAAAGTTGTATTGTATTTTTCCAAGAATCATAAAAATTCAACACGGATTCATAAACCACAAGTTCAGGACTTTTTAACATTTAAATAACACTTATCTGATAACGTTTGCAAGGTTTGAAAGCATTCAACTTTACAATTTTAAAGTCAAATTGTAAAATGTTATTATACAATTTTGATTTTTTTCTCCAAAAATCTCGGTCCTAACGTAAAAAACTCAACACGGATTCATAAACCACAAATACAGGAATACAGAACTAGAAGATCTATTTTTCCGTAATCTAAGGGTTACGAAACGTCGAAAAAACACCGTTTTTTTAATTGCCGCATATTCCTCAAGTTTTTTGTTTTTTACATACACATGGATATCTTTTGCATAAAAAAAACCAATTACCTGCCCGAATTACGCAACAAAAACCTCATGAAATTCCAATTTTTGTAATAAAACAAAAAATGACCCAGTCCTGAGTGGTATAAAAGGGGCCAAGAATTCTCTTTGGGTGCAGTTTTTGAATATTTTTCTACAACATGCTTCAACAGTTAAAAGTGAGTTATATTCGGTCTATAATTTTGGCAAATTTTTGAAACTTTTTTGTGCACAGGCCGTCGTTCTCGCCGCCCTTTGGGCCACTGGTCTCATCATAATGGCCACAGAACTGCCCCCTGAGGACATCTATTGTAAGTTTTTACATAAATTTCGTCAAAAAAATCGAAAAGTTTAAAAAACTTCCCTTTTTCAGGACTGTGTCACCATAGGAAACACTAAAAATTGTTAGAGCACTTTCAATAAAAATATAAAAAAAAGTTTTTGTTTTTCTAATATTCTTCTAATAATTTTCGTTACATATTTACCTTCAATAATACATCTTCTCGAACGAACTCGTTACAACACTGCCCCAAATCCTTCGGGTCCCAATTTTCCACATTCTTCTCGATCTCGTGGAGTTTGTCCAAAGCGGCTTGCCGCCGAGCCCTGACCTGGAGAAAGGGAGTCGAGCAACTTCGCAACAAAGCGGGGGTCGGTACGCAACGTCCTAACATATTTACAAACAAATTAAAAAATAGGCACCTCAAGGCTCCACTCTCAATCCATAAATCTTTTTGCAATTCCGCAACGATCTTTTTATCTTTTTTTTTTTTTTCACTGACCTAGTGCAATCTGCAGCGGCTTCAGCAGCCCCTCCACTTGTGTCAAAGTCTCCCGATCCTCCTCCGCCACCGACAGCCCCCTCAGCAGCGTGATGTACTCGAGGTACGAAAAGCAGTGCCGAATGGGGCCCATGAGAAGGGCCGGCAGGTAATACTTGAGGGCTAAGCGCATGCCTTGGCCGGCTGTGATGAGGGCGCTCTCCACCTCCGGTTTGGAGAGGAGGTTGTTGAGGGTCTCCCGGCAGGTGGGGGCCGTCACGTCTTTGGCGTACTTGATGTAGACGTCGAATTCGGCGGCTTCGGCCAGTTCTGGAAAAAAAAAATTATATTTAGCATGGCCAAATTTTTTGAAAATAAATTACCAATGTTAAAAAATATGCAAAATTTAGATTAGTTAATGTAAACTGTTAACACCTAATACTAATTCCGTATAGCGATTCGACGCAATCATTTCCAATGTAAATACGCAAAAACCTTCGATTTTATCGCAAAAAGTACTCGTTTACGGTAACAGTAAAATTGGTCGAAGGGTATTTCGACTGAATTTTTTTGAAAAATTATAACATTTTTTGCGTTTTTTGTTTCCTGATTACCTTGATAAGGTAGTAGTAAACAAGGCGGTTTTTGATTCTTTAATTTTTATTTTTTTTTTTTTGCTTTTTTTTCTGATTTTCGATTTGCAATTTTTCGAATTTTCTGGTTTAAACTTTTCCGTTTTTCAATTTTCCAACTTTTGAATTTTTCATTTCTTCAATTTTTCGTTTCAGTTTTTTATTTACTTCATTTTTACATTTTTTTGATTTTTCAATGTCGTGATTTCATAATTGTTTGTTTTTTCAACTACAATATTTTTCATTTGCAATTTTTGGATTTGCAATTTTTCGTTTCTGTTTTTTGTGTTCTTAATTTTTTCAATATTAATTTTTAAAATTTTTCGATTTGCGATTTGCAAGTTTCCATTTTTCTTGATTCAATTTCTCATTTTTTCAAATTTTCGATTCGCAATTTTTCGTTTCGGTATTTACTTTCTTTGTTTTTACATTTTTTCAAAGGTGCAATTTTATATTTTTTTTGTTTATTCAATTTCAATTTTTCATCTTTTCAAGTTTAAATTTTCCAGTTTTTCAATTTTCCAATTTTTTTGGTTTTTATATTCTTTATTTTTTCAATTTTTCGTTTTTTCAATTTATCGATTTGCGATTTTGCGACTTTTCATTTTTCTTGTTTCTTCAATTTTGTATTTCTTCAAATTTTCGATTCCCAATGTTCGTTTCGATTTTTATTTTCTTCATTTTAACAATTTCAATTTTTTTCGTTTGTAATTTTTCATTTTTTTTACTGTTACTTCAGATTTTCCGACTTTTCAAGTTTAAATTTTCCAACATTTTAATTTTTCAATTTTTCGTTTCGGTTTTTTATTTTATTCATTTTTCAATGTTACGATTTTATAATTTTCAATTTTTTCAATTTTGGGATTTTGTCAGTTTTAATGTCTTTATTTTATTAATTTTTTTCTTTTTTCAATTTCTTCACTTAACAATTTTTCATTTTTTTGTTTCTTCAATTTTTCATTTCTTCAAATTACCGATTCGTATTTTTTCTCTTCGGTTTTTTTTTACTTGATTTTTATAATTTTTCAATCTTGCGACTTTATAATTTTTTGTTTTTCGATTTCAATTTTTTTATTTGCTATTTTTCATTCTGCTTTTCATCAATTTTACGATTTGGCCATTTTAGGTTTGTTTTTAATTTTGCTTGTTTTCACAATTTTTTCAATGTTACGATTTTATAATTTTTTATTTCAATTAAAAATATTTCGTTTGTTAATTTTTTATTTGTTTCTTTAAATTTTCAATTTGTGATTTTGCAACTTTTCATTTTTCTTGTTCCTTCAATTTTTCATTTCTTCAAATTTTCGATTCGTAATTTTTCGTTTCTGTTTTTTGTTTTCTTAATTTTTACAATTTTTCGAATTTTCAATGTTGAGATTTCATAATTTTTTGTTTAATTTCAAATTTTTCATTTGTAATTTTTCATGTCATCAATTTTTTGTCTTTTCAAGTCTAAATTTTCCAGTTTTTCACTTTTCTAACTTTTTTTGGTTTTTTATATTTTTTTTTTTTCAATTTTTCGTTTCTTTAATGTATCGATTTGCGATTTTGCAACTTTTCATTTTTCTCGTTTCTTCAATTTTGTATTTCTTCCAATTTTCGATTCGTAATTTTTCCTTTCGGTTTTTATTTTCTTCATTTTTACAATTTTTCGAAATTTCAATGTCGCCATTTCATAAATTTTGTTATTTCAATTTCTATTTTTTTCATTTGTAATTTTAATTTTTTTTTGTTTCTTCAATTATTCATTTGCTCAAATTTCCGATTCGTAATTTTTGGTTTCAGTTTTTATTTTCTTCATTTTTACAATTTTTCGATCTTTCAATGTTGCCATTTTATAATTTTTGTTATTTCAGTTTCTATTTTTTTCATATGTAATTTTAAAATTTTTTTGTTTCTTCAGATTTTCGATTTTGCAACGTTTCATTTTTTTGTTTCTTCAATTTTCCGATTCGTAATTTTTGTGTTCGGTTTTTTATTTACTTCATTTTTACAATTTTTCAATGTCCTGATTTTATAAATTTTTAATTACTTCAATTTCAATTTTTCGTTTCGGTTTTTTCTTTTCCTCATTTCTACAAATTTTGAATATTCTAGTTTATATATTTTTTGTTTTTTTTTCAATTTCTTCATTTACAATTTTTTTTTGTTTCTTCAGATTTTCGATTTGCAATTTTTCGACTTTGCAAGTTTAAATTTTTCAGTTTCACAATTTTAACAACTTTTGAATTTTTTAATTTTGCGTTTCTTCAATTTTGTATTTCTTCAAATTTTCGATTCCCAATGTTCGTTTCGGTTTTTATTTTTTTAATTTCTACAATTTCAATTTTTCATTTTTTTATGTTACTTCATTTACCGACTTTTCAAGTTTAAATTTTCCAACATTTTAATTTTTCAATGTTGCGATTTTATAATTTTTAATTTTCTCAGTTTTAATATCTTCATTTTATATATATTTTTTTCCTTTTTCAATTTCTTCATTTACAATTTTTCATTTTTTTTGTTTCTTCAGACTTTCGATTTGCGATTTTGCAAATTTTCATTTTTTGTTTCTTCAAATTACCGATTCGTATTTTTTCTCTTCGGTTTTTATTTTTTATTTCAATAAAAAATATTTCGTTTGTTAATTTTTTGTTTCTTTAATTTTTCAATTTGTAATTTTGCAACATTTCATTTTTCTTTTTCCTTCAATTTTTCATTTCTTCAAATTTTGATCCGTAATTTTTCGTTTCTGTTTTTTGTTTTCTTCATTTTTACAATTTTTCGATTTTTCAATGTTGAGATTTCATAATTTTTTGTTTCTTCAACTTTTAATTTCTTCAAATTTCCGATTCGTAATTTTTCGTTTCGGTTTTTTATTTACTTCATTTTTACAAGTTTTCGTTTCGTTTTTATTTTCTTTGTTTTTACACTTTTTCAATGTTGCGATTTTATATTTTTTTGTTTATTCAATTTCAATTTTTCGTCTTTTCAAGTTGAAATTTTCCAGTTTTTTTATATTATTTATTTTTTCAATTTTTCGATTTGCGACTTTGCAATTTTTCATTTTTCTTGTTTCTTCAATTTTGTAATTCTTCAAATTTTCGATTCGTAATTTTTGGTTTCGGTTTTTATTTTCTTCATTTTTACAATCTTTCGATTTTTCAATGTTCCCATTTTCTTACTTTTGTTATTTCAATTTCAATTTTGCAACTTTTCATTTTTTTGTTTCTTCAAATTTCCGATTCGTAATTTTTTCTTCGGTTTTTTATTTACTTCATTTTTACAACTTTTCAATGTTTTGATTATATAAATTTTTAAAAACTTCAATTTCAATTTTTCTTTTTTTTTCAATTTTACAATATTTAATGTCTTCAATTTTTCGTTTCGGTTTTTTCTTTTTTTCATTTTTACAATTTTTGAATATTCTACTTTATTATATTTTTTGTTTTTTTTTTCAATTTCTTCATTTACAATTTTTTTTGTTTCTTCGGATTTTCGATTTGCAATTTTTCGACGTTGCAAGTTTAAATTTTCCAGTTTCACAATTTTCACAACTTTTGAATTTTTCATTTTTCATTTCTTCAATTATTCAATTTGCAATTGTGCAACTTTTCATTTTTTTTGTTTCTTCAATTTTGTATTTCTTTAAATTTTCCTAATGTTCGTTTCGGTTTTTATTTTCTTCATTTTAACAATTTAAATTTTTTTCATTTATAATTTTTCATTTTTTTGTTACTTCAGACTTTTCAAGTTTAAATTTTCCAACATTTTAATTTTTCAATTTTTCGTTTCGGTTTTTTTTTCTTCATTTTTCAATGTTCCGATTTTATAATTTTTTATTTTTTCAATTTTAATTTTGAATTTTTTTTTGTTTAATATTAGGATTTTGTCATTTTTAATGTCTTCAATTTTTCTTTTAGGTTTTTATTTTCGTATTTTTTTTCTATTTTCCATTTCAATTTCTTCATTTTTTTTGTTTCTTCAATTTTTCATTTCTTGAAATTACCGATTTGTATTTTTTCTCTTCGGTTTTTTATTTACTTGATTACGTATTTATAATTTTTGTTATTTCAATTCCAATTTTTTTTCATTTGTAATTTTAATTTTTTTTGTTTCTGCAGACTTTCGATTTTGCAAGTTTTCAATTTTTTCAGTTGCAATTTTCCAGTTTTTCAATTTTTAACTTTTGAATTTTTCATTTCGGTTTTTATTTTCTCTATTTTTACAATTTTTCAATGTGACGATTTTTTAACTTTAGTCTCAATTCCAATTCTTTTCAATTGTAATTTTTATTTATTTTTTTTTGTTTCTTTAGATTTTCGAATTGCGATTTTGCAAGTTTTCTCACTTTTCTTGTTGCTTCAATTTTGTATTTCTCCAAATTTCCAATTCGTGTTTTTTCGTTTTAGTTTTTTATTTTCTTCAATTTTACAATTTTGCAATGTTGGGATTTTTTTTTGGTTTTTCAATTTCAATTTTTCAAATTTTCAAGTTTAAATGGAACTCTACATTTTAAATTTCCCAGTTTTTCAAAAATTGAAAAATTAAAAAATCTAAATTTTAAACATCGAAAAGAAAACTGGGAAAATCAAAAATCCAAGAATCGAAAAACTGAAACATCGGGAAATTGAAAAATCGACACATCGAAAGCTTGGAAAATCGAAAAGCCGAAAAATTAAAAAAAAAAGAAATTGAAAAATCAAGAAAATGACCAATCTAAAAAAAATCGAAACAAAATCTTGATAAAATCAAAAAATCGAAATATGTAACTGAAAAAAGAAATATGAAATTTAAAAAATCAATGATTTTAAAAATCGAAAAATTGAAAAACCGAAAAATCGAAAGATCCAGAAATCGAAACATCAAAAAACTGAAAAATCTTGAATTTAAAAATAGAAAAATTTAAAAATCCCTTTAAATTTTCCAGTTTTTTGAATTTTACAATTTTTTAATTTTTCGATATTGCAACTTTTCATTTATCTTGTTTCTTCCATTTTTGTTTCTTAAAATTTTCAATTCGTAATTTTTCGTTTCGGTTTTCTATTTTCTTGATTTTTACAATTTTTCCATTTGCAATTTTTCGAATTTTCAAGTTTAAATTTTCCAGTTTTTCGATTTAACAACTTTTGAATTATTTTTTGCAATTTTTCGTGTCTTCACTTTTCGTTTCGGTTTTTATTTTCTTTATTTTTTCATATTGTTGGTTTTTCAATGTTCAGATTTAATATAATATTTTTTTTTATTTTTGATTTTTCAATATTCTGATTCCCAATTTTCCGGTTTTCAAGTTGCAATTTTTCTAGCTTTTATTTTAAATATGTAATAAGTATTATAATTTTAAGAAAATTTAAACCTTTTTCAATTTTTAATTCTCATAATTTTTCATTTTTTCTTCTTTTCAGTTTTTCGTTTCTTCAGTTCTTCGATTTGCAATTTTGCCATTTTCCGTTTTTGCAATTTTTTGTTTTCCAGTTTTCCAATTTTAGTTAAGTTTTGAATCTTTCAATGTTGTGATTTTATACTTGTTTTTCCAATTTTAATTTTTCATTTTTTTTCAGAATTTCGATTTGCAGTTTTTCGTCTTTTCAAATGTGAATTTTTCAATTTTCCAAATTTTGAATTTTTCAATTCGTGTTTTTTCGTTTTGGTTTTTTATTTTCTTCATTTTTTAAAAACCGAAAAATCCCCAAGTTGAAATTGAAAAATCGAGAAAATGACTACTCTAAAAATCGAAACAATTGAAAAAAGAGAAATGAAATTTAAAAAAACCGAAAAATCCAAAGCCGCGAGGTCGAAAAATCGAAAGATCCAGAAATCGAAATATCGAAAAATTGAGATATCCAAAATTAAAAAAAAAAAAAAAAAATGAAAAATTGAAGAATCGAAGAACTAAAAAATCGAGAAATCCAAGTCCCGATGAATCCAGAAATCGAAAAATTGAAAACCAGAAAGTTTAAAAATCGATATGCAATTTTTTTGTTTCTTCAGATTTTCGATTTGCAATTTTTCGACTTTTCAAGTTTAAAGTTTCCAGTGTTTCAATTTTACGACTTTTGATTTTTTTTTTTGAATTTTTCACGTCTTCATTTTTTGTTTCGGTTTTTTAATTTCTTTATTTTTTCGATTTTTCGGTTTTTCAATGTTCAGATTTAATTTTTTTGTTTCAATGTAAAATTTTTAAGTTTTCGGATGTTTCAATTTTCTGGTTCCCAATTTTTCGTTTCTTCAATTTTCGATTTGCTTTTTCTAGCTTTCATAACAATAATAATAAAATTCAATTTTCAATTCTTACAATTTTTTCTTTTTTCTTTTTTGCAATTTTTTGTTTTTTCAGTTTTCCGATTATTAATTTTCAGATTTTTCAATCTTTCCAGACAAAAACACAGAAAATCTGCTAAATTGTCGAATCAAAAATGAAAAATCGAAAGATAAAAATTGGGGAACTTAAAAATCGGAAAAGTGCAGAATGGAAAAAACGAAATATGTATTTTAAAATCGAAATATTGAAAATCAACGAAATACGAAAATCGGAGTTGGAAATCCAAAAACTGCAAAATTGAAAAAATAGCTTAGGAAGTGCACTTTTCCTCCTCGTCGCTAAAAATTTTATCACAAACCTTCAACGTTCATCGTCCTTGTAATTTACGTTCCCCAACAAAAAATCGATCGCATTACATTTTCATATTTTTCGACATTGGATATTATCAAGTAGAACGCATAGTGATAAAACGACAATTAACTACTTATTTAACGTCAACTGGGACGCAGACAGACACAAATTATACACTTTTGCACTTTTTACGCTATTTTAAATATTTTTTCGATAAAAATTCCATTAAAATTGCACTTTGTGCAACAAACAAAAAACAAATACATTTATTATCGTCACGAATTCATTCCGCCGGGTATAAAAGGCGCGAAGAAGTCCCTTTCAGCATAGTCTTCTTTGACATTTCCACTCAAAATGTTCCGCTACGTAAAAGTGAGTTTATTATATATATATTTTTAATTTTTTTTTATTATTATTATTATTATTATTTTGTAAAGATTGTCGCTGTCGTCGCCCTCTGGGTCGCCAGTCTGGTCGCGGTTGCCACAGCTCAAGGCGAGGAGGACGAGGAGGAATGTAATTTTTACAATAATTATAAATGTTTTTTGAATTTTTAAATGTGACGTTGCAGGAGCGCTGTGGACCACCCACCAACCCCCTGAACCGGATTAATTTCGTTAGAAATAATAAGCACTGACCTTTGCACTGCACTTGAAATAAAAATGTAAAAAAAACTGTTGTTTTTTAATGTATTGATAATCTTCGACGTGACGTCATCGCGCTTCTAGATTCGCGATTGTTTTAAAAGTTAAATATTCGCACAAATGGGTTTCTAAACACTAATTTTACATAAAACCCTGATTATCATAGATATTCTTCGCTATCTTTTTCGAATTAAAATACAAATTGTTAATGTAACCTTGTCGTTCTAGCTCTGTCATTAAATGTACACACTATGTATATACAATTTTTAAACTGAATACTTAAAAGAGAGTTCGAAAAACGGCCAAGTTTGGACTGGTCGAGCCATGATTAAGCATGTGATGGTGAGAAACATTTTTTTAAATTTCGGATTTATGTTTGTATATATAGTTTGACTTAATTTATTTGTCAGGTAGTTACTGCGATTATCGTATGGGTTGTTACCGTTGTAATATTTTCTTCGTATACTTGCAGCAAAAGAAACCCGACTAATAGTCATGGAAGATCATTTATACAAATGTGAGTACGTTTTGACGTGTTTTTTAACTCGGCTAACGTCTCGTCAAGAAAAAAAAAAAGTAATGGTTAAAAATGTTTCAGGTTAATATACAAACGTACTGGAGTGTTGTTACGGAAAAAAATAAAAACGTGAAAGGACGGAAAACGGAAACATAAAGAAAGCAGAAACTGTGTTCATATTAGTTCCTTAGAAGTTATTTAATTTAGGAATTTTTAGTTACATACTGTATACATACACAAACCGATTGATTAAATATTGTACATCAAGTTGGTTCTGCAATTTCGTGAATTCAATAGGTAGGCAACCAACAATTCAGGTCACTTGATGGACTGACAGATTTACCAAAGCTGGCTTGATATTCGTTCTAATTCGAAGTTACAATGTCATTTTAACAACACATTCTTTGCCATGTTCGTAACAATATACAGAGTGTTAATAAATCACTTTCCACAATACAGAGTATCGTATTTTTCAACATGTGTTTTATTTTTATATATATTTTTACAAACTCTAGTTGTGACTAAACTTTATAACCACACTTTAATTTTGACATTTCATTGCGACGTTGCCACGTTATTTCAATTTTCTGGATTTTTACATCAATGGGACGGTTCACAAAAAAATCGTGACGGGATTATTTTTAAAGTGTGCAATACACTATTTTGTGGAGAGATATATTATACATACTTGTCTTATCCAGTTGTAGCCCCGCCCACCCGCCCTTTATTTTCTCAGAGGGTGGTACTTGCGAAGATAAGTCTTATTTTGGCAAATGACATATACTCTGAGAAAATAGGGGCGGGTGGGCGGGGTTAGTACTTGTTCAGATAAGACTGATTTTGGCAAACGACATACTTTAAAAGAAAATAGAGGGTGGGTAGGTGGGGCTAGTACTTGCTAAGGTAAGACTGATTTTGCCAAATGGCATACCCTGTGAGAAAATAGAGGGCGGGTGCGGACAAAATTAGCCATAAAAAGTGATGGAAAAAATTGACAGATCAAAATCAATAAAAACAGACAAAAATTTGACAAAAACAGGGGCAAGGGGTTCATAAAAAATGGGAGTAAAAATCTGAAAACAAAAACTTTAACAAAAGAAAAAAGACAGAACTTCTACAAAAAAGTGAAAATTTCACAAATAAGAGCAAAAAACGATGAAAAAGGTGAAAAGATATGCACAAAAGAAGATGAAAAAAAAACGATTAAAAACAATGAAAAATAGAGATTAAAATATTCACAAAAAATGATGGAAAAAAGCAATGAGGAAAAGGGCGACAAAAATATTCACAAAAAAAAACGGCAGAGGTAAAAAATCAATAAAAAAAATGGGGGCAAAAATAAAAAAAAAGACAAAAGTTCTAACAAAAAAAGGGGAACACAAATCTGACACATGGCAAAAAGTCAACAAGAAAAAAAAACGATCAAAAGTTGACAAGGATGAAAAAATGGGTGAAAAAAGGAAAAAACTGCCAAAAACGAAAAAGCAATGAAAATTAACGACAAAAATTTGTTAAAAAATAGGGACAAAATTTTAACAAAAAAATGGGTACAAAAATCTGAAACAAAGGGAAACTTTACCAAACGGGACAAAAATCTCGAAAAATGTAAAAAAATGGGGACAAAGTTTTCTAAAAATAAACACGGGGACAAAAATTTGACAAAACTTCAACAAAAGAGGGAAACAAAACTTGGAAAAAAGAGGGACGAAATATCAACAAAAACATGGGGACAAATATTTGAAAGAAAAAGGACAAAAATTTAACAAAAGGGACAAAAGAAAAAAAGTTGCTAAAAAGGACAAAAAATATGCAAAAAATGGACGAAAACAGGATGAAAAAGAGCGACAAAAATTTGTTAAAAAATAGGGACAAAATTTTATAATAAAAAACATGAGGACAAAAATTTTACAAAAATTCAACAAAACAATGAGTACAAAACAAAAAAAATGAAAAAAAAACACGAATCTCGAAAAAAGTGAAAAAATGGGCACCAAAAATTAGAAAATAAAAACCTGTCAAAAATGAAAAACCAACCGACAAAAATTTAAAAAAAAAGGATAAAAATTTGACACAAAAGAGGGAAACAAAATTGGGAAAAAAGAGGGAGAAAATTTCAACAAAAAATGGATACAAAAATTTGAAAGAAGATGGACAAACGTTTAACAAAAGGGACAAAAAACGCACAAAAAGGGCAGAAAATGACGAAACGGTGAAAAAATGGACACAAAAAAAATTATGAAAAAAAAAAACTGGCAGAGGTAAAAAGCAATAAAACATGGGGTCAAAAATTTGAAAAAAAAGGACAAAACTTTAACAAAAAATGGAGACAAAAATCTGACAGAAGAAGAAAAAAGTTGCCAAAAAGGACAAAAAATGACGACAAAAAATTTGAAAAAAAAAAATGGACGAAAACAGGATGAAAAAGAACGACAAAAAATTGTTAAAAAATAGGGACAAAATTTTATAATAAAAAACATGAGGACAAAAATTTTACAAAAATTCAACAAAACAATGAATACAAAAAAAAAGAAAAAAAAACACGAATCTCGAAAAAAGTGAAAAAATGGGCACCAAAAATTATAAAACAAAAACATGTCAAAAATGAAAAACCAATGAAAAAGGCCGACAAAAATTTGACACAAAAGAGGGAAACAAAATTGGGAAAAAAGGACAAAATTTCAACAAGAAAAAGGCACAAAACTTCTACAAAAAAAGTGATAAAAAGTTGACAAAAAGGATAAAAAAATGACGAAAAAGGTAAAAATTGAGTATAAAAATTTTGAAAAAAAAAAAATTGGGAGAGGCAAAAACCAATGAAAAATGGAGTCAAAAATCTAACAGACGATACAATCAACAAGAAAAACAAGGCAAAAATTGTACAAAAAATTGATCAAAAACAATAAAAAATTGTTACAAAAAAGATGAAAAAATGGGCACCAAAAAAAAAAAAAAATTAAAGAATCTGATAAAAACGAAAAAGAGCGATAGAAATTTGTTAAGAAATTAGACAAAGTTTTATCAAAAAAAAGACTTGAAAAAGGACAAAAATTTAAGAAAGGGGACAACAATTTGACAAAAACTAAAGAAAAGAGAGAAATAAAATTGGGACAAAAATTTGAAAAAGGGGACAAAATTTTAACAAAAAATGGTGACAAAAATCTGACAGAGGAAAAAGAGTTGCCAAAAAAGACAAAAAATGACGACAAAAAATGGGCGAAAACAGGATGAAAAAGAGCGACAAAAATTTGTTAATAAATAGGGACAAAATTTGATAATAAAAAACATCAAAACAAAAATTTTACAAAAATTCAACAAAACAATGAGTACAAAAAAAAAATGAAAAAAGCGCCAAAAATTACAAAAAAAAACCTGTCAAAAATGAAAAACCAATGAAAAAGGCCGACAAAAATTTATCAAAAAATAAGGACAAAGCTTTTTAAAAAAAAAACATGGGGACAAAAATGTTAAAAAAGGGACAAAAATTTGACACAAAAGAGGGAAACAAAATTGGGAAAAAAGAGGGACAAAATTTCAACAAAAAATGGAGACAAACATTTTGAAAAAAAAAGGACAAAAGTTTAACAAAAGAGATAAAAATCTCACAAAAAAGACAAAAAGGCAACAAGACCATAACTTGAAAAAGGACAAAAATTAAAAAAAGGGGACAATTTTAAAAATGGAACAAAACTCAACATAAGAGAGAAACAAAATTTGAAAAAAACAAGGGCAAAAGTTAAACAAAAGGGACAAAAAGGCAACCAGAAAAAGGGACAAAACTTCTACAAAAAAAGTGATAAAAACCGATAAGTTTACAAAAATGGGCAAAAAATGACGAAAAAAAAGCGGTCAAAAATGAAAAAGTAAGGAAAAAAGGCAACAAAAATATCCACAAAAAAAGAATGAATGAAAAAACTGACAGGTAAAAAAATGGGGGATAAAAATCTGGCAGAGAACAAAAAGTCAAGAAGAGCAGCGAGGCAAAAATTGAAAAAAAAAAGTGATCAAAAAACGATAAAAAGATGAGAAAAAGGACAAAAATAACGACAAAAAAAGATGAAAAAAATGGGCACAAAACAAAAACGAAAAAGCAACGAAAAAAAGCGACAAAAATTAAAAAAAAAAGGGACAAAAATTCAAAAAAGGGAAACAGATTTGGGAAAAAAGGACCCAAAAAAATGAAAACTAAATTCGAAAAATAAATCAACAAGAAAAATAGGACCAAAATTCTACAAAAAAAGATTATAGAAAAGCGACAAAAAAAATCCAAAAAAACGATGAAAAAAGGCCAAAAAAATTGGTACAAGTAAGGATGAAAAGAAATCCTAACAAAAACGAAAAAGCAATAAAAAAGTGAGACAAAAATCTGACAGAGGAAAAAACCAACAAGAAAAAAAGGCAAAAATTGTTCAAAGAAAAAAAAAGGATGATACAAAAACTATAAATAGTTGCCAAAAAGGACAAAAATGACGACAAAAAAGATGAAAAAAAAGGGCGAAAAAAGGATAAAAAACCTGACAAAAACAAAAAATCAATGAAAAAGGACACAAGTTAAACAAAAGGGACAATAATCTCGAAAAAAGTGAAAAAAATTATGAAAAAACCCTGTCAAAAATTTAAAAAAGGGAAACAGATTTGGGAAAAAAGGACCCAAAAAAATGAAAACTAAATTCGACAAAAAGATCAACAAAAAAAAAAAAAATTGGAGCAAAATTCTACAAAAAAAAAAGGATTATAGAAAAGCGATAAAAAATTGCAAAAAAACGATGAAAAAAAGCCAAAAAAATTGGTACAAGTAAGGATGAAAAGGAACCTAACAAAAACGAAAAAGCAATAAAAAAGTGGGACAAAAATCTGACAGAGGAAAAAAACCAACAAGAAAAAGAAGGCAAAAAATTGTACAAGAAAAAAAAGGATGATGAAAAAACTATAAATAGTTGCCAAAAAGGGCAAAAATGACGACAAAAAAAAAAGATGAAAAAAAAGGGCGAAAAAAGGATGAAAAACCTGACAAAAACGAAAAACCAATGAAAAAGGACACAAGTTAAACAAAAGGGACAAAAATCTCCAAAAAAGTGAAAAAAATTGTGAAAAAAACTTTTCAAAAATTCAAAAACGGAAACAGAATTGAGAAAAAAAGACCCAAAAAATGAAAACTAAATTCGACAAAAAAATCAACAAAAAATTGCGAAAAAACGATGAAAAAAAGGCCAAAAAAATTAACAAAAAGGGAGCACACATTTGACATAAGAAAGTCACAAAGAAAAGGGGACAAAAAAGGTATAGAACGTTGAAAAAAAGGGGCAAAAAACTGACAAAGGTAAAAAATGGAAAAAGTGGAACAAAAATGTTGACAAAAGAAGGATAAAAGTTCAACAAATAAAAATTTATATACTTTTTTTATTTAAATATATTGATTTCTGTAATGGACTTTTGCGCATATAAATGATTATTACAATTACAAAAAAAATGGGGACAAAAATTTTACTACAAAAGGGACAAAAAGATAAGAAATAATCACTTTATTGTGGTACAAATTAAACTGAATCTTACATTGAGTGTTTATAAAAGATACTATTTTGAAATATCGAAATTTTAGTTTTTTCAAATAAAATGCATCTTAAGTTGAAATATTTTCGATATTTTTTTTGCATACTCGGTATATTAAAATTGTATCTAATGGACACCACAATAAACCGCCTGACCTTCGTTTGTCTCTCCATAAAATATTGCAACGCAGATCTTAAAAACAACATTATTGCAACTTTTGTTAATCCTTGCCCTGTCCCAAAACAAAACACTCTGTATAGTCGAAAAAACTTTGGTCTTTAATTTTTTTTCACCCAGTATATTGGCATATTTTACTTCCATGCATCTTCCTCTGGTTTTACCATGGTTTTACGTAGCGAAACAAATTAGCAAAGACGCAAACCTTCCACTTTAGACGTAAAAACAACAGATGGCGCTGAATCACAGACAAATATTAAATGTCACAACGAATTTTATTTTCTAACTTTATTATATTAAAATAAATAAAAACCTGCTACGTTCCACCTTACCTTCGAAACAGCTGCCAATATACGACATTTGATCCTGCGCCATCTCCACCACGTCCTCCAGACTCCCCAGCAGAGTATACGTGAGCTCATAAATATCCATAATATTAGAAAATATCAGCTCGATCTCGATCGGATCCGAGCCCAGTTTGATTATCTCCTCGCTGCAACACAACCTCACTTAGCTCCGTCCCCGATCCACAGCTCCCCCCACCTACCGGAACACCTTGATCAGCATGTGCAGCTCCTTGATGTACGCCTTCTCCGACGCGATCAGCTCCCGCACCACCTCCTCGTACGTCAGGCTCGTGCGCGGCGCCGTCGACACCATCAGCGACTCGGTCGGCAGACTGGGTCCCCCGCCCTCGTCCTGGTAGAACATGTCCATCAGCGCCTACAACAGAACGACCTGTGAAAACTGGCGCCGGGGACGCGCGACCAAAAAGAACGAAGAGTGCACAAGTGGAAAACGAGTGACTTCGGCAAGCGGCAACTAAAACAAGCCCAAGAGAGTAGTCTCTACGTCATACTCCTGCGTGGTCGCGCGCGAGCGGCGCGCCGGGCGCCGCGCGCGCGCGACGAGTGTAGAGAAAGAGGAAGAGGGAGAGAGCATGCTGCCACACTTAAACGAAAGAAAAAAATCAAAACATGGCTACCTACCATGGCTGTGGGCTGTGACGCAGCGTGAAAGCAAAAGCAATTAATCAAAAAACGAAAAGCCTCGTCTATGGAAAAACGGCGAACGAAAAGAAACTCCTAACCTAACCGGCCGGTTCAAACAAACAAAAACGAGGAACATCTATCTGGTTTCTGTTCGCCGGGAGACTTTTCACTCGGGGTGAATTGATTGGAGGTAAAGAAGGCTATGAGTTTGACGTTATGTGGTCACGTGCGGCTTTCCGTCGCGAGATGGCGCTGGTCGGAGAAATTCGTCGCCGACGAAACTTAGTGACAAACTTCATGTTAGCAAACTTCTTGATAGTTCAAATGTCATTTTTGACAGATAACATATCACCTACATTAATTTAAATTTTAATGCAAATAATTTTGGGAAATATTATTTATGTTGATTCTATTTGGTTGACTAATACGGGTCATTATTGATTAGCACGCCACTGCCTTAAAAATAATAAAAAAAAGTTAAATTTGGAATACAATCAGGTATTCGGTTTCTTAGATAATTCTTTAGAATTTTAATTTGATATTTTTATTAATCCAGCGAGTTAATACAGAAATAGGCGTGGATTTTTTAGAAAGGACAAGAAAAACAACAAAAAGAGGAAGAAAAAAATGCCATTTAAAGAACACAAAAAAAACTGCTAAAAAAACCTAAAAATGTAAAAAAACAGGACTAATAAATGATAAAAAAAGACAACAAAATGTGACAAAAAATTAAAAAGATAAAAAAAGGCGAATACAAGATAATAAAAGGAGTGAAAAATACGACAAAATACAGGTCACAAAAAGCGAAAGAAAAAACACCTAGAAATGTATAAAAAGCAAGAGGAAAAAAAAGGCGAAATAGTAGACAAAGAAAACAATTAAATAAAAGCAAAAAAACAGATATCAAAGTAGGAGTCGGAAATCGGCTATAAAATAAAGATGACAAGAAAAAACGAAAACGAAAATTCTACAATAGGGCGATAAAAAAATGGATTTTTCACAAAAAAAAAAATGACAAACGAAAAAACCATCAAAAAAATTTAGACCTAAATTTAGCAGAAATGACCAAAAAAACTGAAAAACGAAAAAGCAGTAAAAAAAGAAAACAAAACTGAAAAAAAAACAAAAAGTTTTACAAAAAAAAGGACAAAAATTTTACACAAAATCAACAAGAAAAAGGAACAAAAATTCACAAGAAAAAAAAGACAAAAATTCGACAAAAATGGCCAAAAAAATATGGAAAAAAACTAAAATACGAAAAAAAAATTACAAAGTTTTAACAAAAAAAGGGGGCTAAAATTTGCCAAAAAAAAAACAACGGCCCAAAAACCCGAGAACAAGGGACAAAAATTCTCAAAAAAAAAAAATAAAAGGCAACAAGAAAAGAGGGACAAACATTCTACAACAAGAGCGATAAGAGTTCATAAAAAAAGGCAACGAATGAAGAATAACGAACGCCACAAAAATGATGGAAAAAAACGAAAACACGATAAAAAAAGAAGAAACAAAAATTTTGTAAAAAAATTAACAAAAAGAGGGACAAAAATTCAACAAAAAGAAGATCAAAGATTCCAAAAAAATGAGACAAAAGCTTAAAATAAAAAAATGGAGACCAAAATTCAACATGAAAAAGGCACAAAAATTCAACAAGAAAAAGTGTACAAAAAGTCAATGAAAAATGCGATAAAAAGTTGCCAAAAAAGGTCCTAAAAAGCGAAAAATGGCCAAAATGAAGATGAAAAAAAAAATAAAGGCGAAAAAGATCTTAGAAAAGGAGACAAAAATTCGACAAAAAAAAGAAACAAAATTTTAAGAAAAAAAGGGACAAAAATTTGCCAAAAGAAAACAAGGGATCAAAAATTCGAGAAAGAGGGACAAAAATTCGACAAAAAGGATAAAAGTCAACAAGAAAAGAGGGACAAACATTCTACAAGGTCTATATTAAAAACTCGATAAAAAAGTTCCCCAAAAAAGTCAAAAAATGAAAAAAAAAAGAAGGAAAACGCCACAAAAACATTAGAAACAAAAATTTTGTAAAAAGTAGGGAAAAAAATTGACAAAAAAAAAAACATTACAAAAATGCAACAAAAACAGGATCAAAAATTCGAGAAAAATGAGACAAAAGCTTAAAAAAATGGGGTCAAAAATAAGTCAAAAAAGGCAATAAAGTTCGCAAAATGAACCAAAAGAATGTCAGAAAAGTAAAAAATGGCCACAAAAATGACAAAATACAAAACGAAACAGCAATAAAAAAAGGGAAACAAAAATTTAAAAAAAGGAGGTTTAAAAAAAATAGGGACAAAAATTTGCCACAAAGTCAACAAGAAAAGAAAAGAAAAATTCCACAAAAAGACGATAAAAACATACAAAGGTTGAAAAAAAAAAAGTGACAGAAACGTATAGTAATTAAAAAATTGAGACAAAATTTAGAAGAAAAAACTTGAACAAAAATTATTAAAAGGAACAAAAATTTGACAAAAAGTGGGATAAAAATTTAACAAAAAGATCGAAGTTTTAAGCAAAATAAGACAAAAGCTTAAAACAATGGGGACAAAAATTTGACAAAAAGTCAACAATAAAAGATGGACAAAAATTCAACAAGAAAAAGAAGACAAAAATTCGACGAAAAAGGCTAAAAAGTTGCCAAAAAAAGTGAAAAATGGACAAAAAGATGAAAAAAAAAAAAACTGAAAACTCAGCAAAAAAATTGGGACAAAATTTTAACAAAAAAAGGGGACACAAATTTGACAAAAGAAAACAAAAATTCAATAAAAAGGAGCAATAAAAACATGATAAGAAAGTTCTCAAAAAAAAGGCAAAAATGACGAAAAACAAAGGCCACAAAAATCATTAAACAAAAAAAAACAAACGAAAAACGCGATTAATAAAAAAGAAGGGAAATTTGGTTTAAAAAAAATAGGAAAAAAAAATTGACAAAAACAGGGAAAAAATTCAACAAAAATTCGAGAAAAATGAGACAAAAACTTGAAAAAAAAAATGGGATCAAAAATTTGCCACAAAGATAACAAGAAAAGAGAACAAAAACTCTACAAAAAAGGCGATACAAAATAGCAAAAAAGTTCCAAAAATGGCGGCAAAAAAAACGAAAAAAATAAAAGGGTGAAAAAAAGCAGACAAAAACCTAAAATTAATATAAAAAACATGGAGACAAAATTTAGAAGAAATAACTGGGACAGAAATAAAAAAAAATCAACAAAGAGGTACAAAATTCGAGAAAAAAGCAAAAGTTCAAAAAAATGACGACAAAAAAGTCAACAAGACAAAAATGACAAAAATTCGACAGAAAGGTGATAAAAAGTTGTCAAAATAGGTCAAAAAAGGAGAAACAGCCATAAAGATGAAAAAAAAAAATGAAAGACGGAAAACATGTAAAATTGGAAACAAAAGTTTGATAAAAAAAGTAGGCACAAAATTTTAACAAAAAAAGGGAACAAAAATTCGTCAAAAAGGCACTAAAAAAAACACCGATAACAAAATTGACAAAAAATGGGAAACAAAATAGCTACAAAGAAAGCATGAAAAAACTGACAAAAACGAAAAAACAATTGAAAAATGGAGACAAAAATTTAGAGGAAAAAACTAGAACAAAAATTTGAAAAAAAGTCAACAAGAAAAAGGAGACAAAAATTCGACGAAAAAGGCGATAAAAAGTTGCCAAAAAAAGTGAAAAATGGACAAGAAAAAAAAACTGAAAACTCAGGAAAAAATTGGGACAAAATTCGAGAAAAAAAGGCGAATTAGGCCAAAAATACCAAAAAAAACGAAAAGTGAAAGAGCAATAAAAAATTGGAACAACAATTTAAAAAAAGGAACAAAGTTTTACAAAAAAAGAGACAAAAATCTGATAGTCAACAAGAAAAAGAAATGGCCACACAAATTGTAAAAAAGTCTAAGAAAAACGAAAAAACGATTAAAAAATGTAGACAAAAAACTAACCAAAAAAAAAACATTCAGACAAAAGTTTGAAAAAAAGAGGAACAAAGATTCGAGAAAAAAATTTACATAAGCTCAAAAAATGAGGATAAAAAAATTTTACAAAGACAAAAAGTCAACAAGAAAAAGGACGAAATTTCACCATGAAGGAGACAAAAATTCAAGAAGAAAAAAAGGGACAAAAACGCGAAAGAAAAGTGATAAAAAGTTGTCAAAAAGGCCAAAAAAGGGGGAAAATAGCCACAAAGATAAAAAACTGAAAGGCGGAAAAAATTTTAAAAAGGAGGCAAAAGTTCGACAAAAAAAGGGACAAAATTTTAACCAAAGACAAAAAAGGCGATAAAAACCCCGATAAAAAAAGTCGGCAAAAAAGCAAACAAAAAACTGGAAAAAATAGCCACAAAAGAAAGATGGAAAAACCCGACAAAAACGAAAAAACAATCAAAAAAAATAGAGGCAAAAATTTTCCACAAAAAAATGGGAAAAAAATTCAACAAAAAAAAGAGTAAAAAATGGCCACAAAGATGAGTAAAAACTGAAAGGGCAATAAAAAATAGGAACAAAAACTAAAAAACAGGAACAAAGTTTTACCAAAATTATGGAGATAAAAATTTAATGCAGTAGACAAAAAAAAGAATAAAAATTCCACAAAGAAATATAAAAAAGGTGAAAAAAGGGTCAAAAAGTGACGATGAAAAAGGCCATACGAATTGTGAAAAACCTGACAAAAACGAAAAAGCGATTACAAAAATGAGACAAAAAATCTAGAGAAAAAATTGTGTAAAAGTTCAACAAAAAAAATTGGGACAAAAATTTAACAAAAAGGTGATCAAAAATTAGAGAGAAAAAAAAGAGACCAGCGCTCAAAAAATGAGAACAAAAAAGGACAAAAAGTCAAGGAGAAAATGAGGACAAATATTCAAGATGAAGAAGTATGCAAACATACAATAAGAAAAAGACAAAAATTCGACAAAAAGGCGATAAAAAATGTCAAAAAAAGGCGGGAAAATGGCCACAAAGATGAAAAAAAAAAATGTAAATCGGAAAAGATAAAAAAGAAGTCAAAAACTCTACAAAAAATAGGAACAAAACTTGGCACAAAAAATGAGACAAAAAATAAAAAATCCGAGAGGGACAAAAATTGGACAATAAAGGTGATAAAAGTTGACAAAAAAAGGGAAAAAATGAGGGACAAAAAAAAGTCAAAAGTTCAACAAAAAAAAGGAGACAAAAATTCGACGAAAAAGGCGATAAAAAGTTGTCAAAAAAAGTAAAAAATGGACAAAAAGACGAAAAAAAAAAACTGAAAATTCAGCAAAAAAACGGAAAGTGAAAGAACAATAAAAAATTGGAACAAAAATTTAAAAAAAGGAACAAAGTTTTACAAAAAAAAAGAGACAAAAATCTGATACAGTCAACAAGAAAAAGATAATGAAAATTCTACAAAAAGACGACAAAAAAAAAACGAAAAAAAAGGCCACACAATTTGCGAAAACCTAACCAAAACGAAAAAGCGATAAAAAAATTGAGACAAAAAATTAACCGAAAAAAAAACTGGGACAAAAATTTTAATAAAAAGAGGAACAAAGATTCGAGAAAAACTGAAAGGCGGAAAGAATGTAAAAAAGGAACAAAGATAGTTAACTTTAAAGTTTAATTTAATTTGTATAGAGTACCCATAGGATTTTTTTTTCCTCTACTCTGTAATTTCTCTGTTAAATAAACAAAAAAAAAAAAAAAATTCGACGAAAAAATGAACAAAATTTTAAGAAAAGACAAAAAAGCCGATAAAAACTCAGATAAAAAAGCCACAAAAGAAGGACGAAAAAAGCCGACAAAAACGAAAAAACAATTAAAAAAATGGACACAAAAATTTTCCAGAAAAAAATGGGACAAAAGTTCAACAATAAAATGAGAACAAAAATTCGACAAAAAAAAGTAAAAAACGGCCACAAAGATGAGAAAAAACTGAAAAGAGACAAAAAAATCAAGAGAAAAAATGGGTAAAAGTTCAACAAAACAATTGTGACAAAAAGAAGATCAAAGATTCGAGAAAAAAAAGAGACGAAAGCTCAAAAAATAAGAACAAAAAAGGACAAAAGTCAACGAGAAAATGGGGACAAAAATTCAAGATGAAGTAGGCAAGCATTCAATAAGAAAAAAGACAAAAATTCGACAAAAAGGCCCATAAAATGTCAAAAAAATGCGGAAAAAGATGAAAAAAAAAAACACTGTAAATCGGAAAAGATGTAAAAAGGAGTCAAAATTTCTACAAAAAATAGGAACACTTTAGCACAAAAAAAGGACAAAAATTTGCCAAAAGCGGAAATCAAAATCCGAGAGGGACAAAAAAAAATACAAAAAGGTCAAAAGTTCAACAAAATAAGGAGACAAAAACAACAAGAAAAACAATAAAAAGAAAAAATAGAAAAGATGACAAAAAAAATACCTGAAAATGGAAAAAGACGACAAAAAAAAACGAAAGGGGAGATATAAAAAAAAAACAAAAATAAGATAGAAAACCTTGACTACAAAAGTCCTGGAAAAAAAAAACGAAATGTGAAAAAAATCCGAGATTTTAATAATAGAAGGGGACAAAAATGCGAAAAAACAAAAGGGAAAATGGACCATAAAAAGGCATAGGAACAAAATTCCAAAAAAAATACAAAAAAAGTCCGTCAAAAGATACAAATAGCTGACATTTGTGTCATTCTATTTTGACACTCAATGTAAATATTTAAGTTTTATAATTTTCACAAGTCAAGTCTACGTTACTGTCACTAAGTTTTGTCTGCGACTTAACGAAAAAAATACAAGTTCTATATACGTATAGTTATATTTTACCACTACGACTACTTATAACCAGAAATACACAGCCACACTTAATGACAAGCCAACCGCTCAACTTATCATTAAACGCGGCTTTTCCAGGCAACAAAACCCCGACACCTCCAGCCGCCGCCTACTCATAGCCTACTCTACCTCTAAAACTGTGTAAGAATAAACGTGAAAAAGTCTCTCAAACTTAACCACCGCCCCCGCCCCTCCTTACCTTATCCGCGTTCATCGAGATCTGCACGTCCTGATACGTGATCTCGAAATGCTTGATGTTCTTCACGTAGTTCCCCGCCAACTTCAGTATATCGGCCGAGATGTACTCCAGCACCGCGACTAGAAAGAGAGAGACAGTCGAGTCGACCTTGTACAGCAGCAATTCCTGGAAGCAGAGGCTAGAGACGGCGCGGCGCGTGCGCGTCGGGTTACCTTTTGCAGCAGGCTGTGAATTTTGTCAACGGGCAGCAGCAGGACCGACTTCTTCTTCCCCCTGTCCAGGGCGCCTTGGGCCTCCTTCAGCGCCCACTTGTCGATGGGCGTCGGGAACGTGCTTTGTACCCGGAATTCGACGTCCTGGGAAAGTGAGGTTAGAGTCGGGCTCGCGGGGGGCGTGGACGTACCTGTACTGTGTGCGGACTGGGCTTGGCGCAGAGCATCGCCAGGAGGCGGAGGCAGAGGTTTTCGACGTATTCGAGGGCGTCATCGCGGGCGTCGAGGGAGGGATGCACTTGCTCTAGAACCTTGAAGAAGAAAAAAAAACACCCTGTATATCGTGTGGATAAGGCTGGAGTCGGTGTACGCGTCTGCAACTTCGCGAACGAAATGTTAATAATGATTAACCTTTCACCTTACCCTTTCTTTATACTGCATACCCTTAAACCCTATTTCATTGATGTTTAAAAGCACAAATCCCACGCGTGTTGATTAATATCTAGTTACAAGAAACACTTCGTTTTTAATCAATTTAAAATGAGTTTGTTTATTTAGTCGAAGGGAGCTGTTGTGGGTTTATCGAGCAAACTATTTGTTTAAATTTGAATTAAAATTGCTGGTCGCTGAGCGAATGACCAGGCTTGAAATTATAAAAAAAATTGTTATACCTCAAACGAGTCCCCTTAAACGTGACCAAGATCTCGTGCACTTGCTACATAAAACTGACGCACGGCAGACGTCATTTATTTAATAACAATTAATTTCACTTAATGTGAGGCAATTTGGTGAACAGTTTGTTGTGATATTAAACAAATTCCAACAAATAGTTTATAAAAAGCCACCATAAAACAGGTCGTTTCACATGTCATTGTCGAGCTATTTTAAGACCGCATTTTTTTAAATAATAAACAACAATAGGAATATATTGAATTTGTTGCTATTTTTTTTTAATCTACTGACTATTATCCAAAAAACACAATCAGTTAAAACACTCGTTGTTTATTATGTAAATAGATGTTCCAAAGCCAATTCGATGTACGATTTTTATAATCACCCTGTATAGTGGTCGCCAACAGGAAATCTCACTTGAAATGTGAAACGTAACAATTTATCTTAAATTAAATACTTGACTGATTTCTTGGAAATTTTTATAAGATATTCAAATATTAACACTGATTCACAAATTATAAATATATATATATATATATATATATCATTTAATTTATTTACTCCCACCAGGAAACTGATGACGTCACTTAGGTGCCGTTAGAAAATTAAAATAGAACCAAAACGACCTCGCTGATACTTTTTCCTGCACACTTATATGAGAATGAAGCTGAAAAATAGAACTATAAAATGCGAGCGCAGCGAGCACGTTCAGATGTAATTTAAAATAATACTTATTGGTGTCCCTAAGAAGCTTAAGTTATAAAATTTTCGGAAAAATCAGGTCATTCATGGACTTTTTTGGATCAGCCTGTATTAAAAAAATATATGTAATTATAAAACTATAAAACCACAAGTAGATGGAATATATTATTTATTTCAACAGAACGATTAATTCGGGAAAATTTTGAGATGAAGTCATCAATTTTTTGGAATATGAAAGGGGATAAATTTTGATTAACGATTTATGATATCAAATAAACACGAAAGATGGATTCAAAATTTTCAAAAATTGTCCAAAAATATTGGTTCACTCGACTTAAAATTGGTGTAAAATTGTAGGTAATCCTCCGCCTGTTATTTTCCAAAAAAAAGCTAAAATATGTTCCAAACTTTTCAGTTTTCATAAAAAAAAAAAAGGTCAAAATTCGTTCAATCAAATGAAAATTGGTAACAAAATGAAGACAATCTTCCGCCACTTACAATTCTGAAATCGCTGTAACGATATCTGTTCCAATAAACACGAAAACTGAATTCAAAATTTTCAAAAAAATTCCAAAAAATGGTTAAAACCGGTTCAATCCAGTGAAATTTGGTATCAAATTGTATGTGGATTGTGGATAATCTTCCGTCAGTTAGAAATTCGGAATCACCTTCGCGATATCTATTGAAACAAAGGCAGATTCCAAAATTTTCAAAAAATTTCCAAAAAAAAAAAAAGGTTAAAATTGGTTCAACCGAATGAAAATTGGTATCAAATTGTATGTAGATGATGTAGTGCCAGTTACAAATTCGAAATCACCTTCAAGACATCTATTGAAATAAGGCTAAAATATGTTTCCAAACTTTTCAGTTTTCCAAAAAAAAAAGGTCAAAATTCGTTTAATCAAATGAAAATTGGTAACAAAATGAAGATAATCTTCCGCCCCTTACAATTCTGAAATCGCTGTAACGATATCTGTTCCAATAAACACGAAAACTGAATTCAAAATTTTCAAAAAAATTCCAAAAAATGGTTAAAACCGGTTCAATCCAGTGAAATTTGGTATCAGATTGTATGTGGATTGTGGATAATCTTCCGTCAGTTAGAAATTCGAAATTACCTTCGCGATATCTATTGAAATAAAGGCAGAACATGATTCCAAAATTTTCCAAAAAAATTGTTAAAACTGGTTCAATCATCCGGAAATTGGTGTCAAATTGTGGACAATCTTCCGCCAGTTACAAATCCGAAATCACCTTTCGGAAATCCATTGAAATAAGCGCTAAAATACAATTCCAAAATTTTCAAAAATTTTCCAAAAAGTGGGTTAAAATTAGTCCAATCGACTGAAAATTGACATCAAATTGTAGATAACAGTCCGCCAGTTACAAATCGGAAATCGCCACCACCATATTTGTTGTTATTATTATTTTATTATTAATAATCGTGAAAATTGAACTCAAAATTTTCAAAAATTTTCCAAAAAAATGGTTAAAATGGGTTCAATCGCCCGAAAATTGGTGTCAAATTGTAAGACAATCTGCCGGCAATTAAAACTCCGAAATCACCTTCATGAGATCTATTGAAATAAATGTAAAATATGATTCCAAAATTTTCAAAAATTTTCGAAATTGTTAAAATTGATTCAATCGACTGAAAATTGGTGTCAAATCGTGTAAAATCTTCTTCCACCAGTTACAAATCTGAAGCCGTCATCACGATTTTTATTCCAATAAACACGAAAAGTAAATTAAAAATTTTCAAAAATTTTCCAAAAAATGGTTAAAATTGCTCCAATCGACCGAAAATTGGTGTCAAATTGTAGATAATAATCTGACAGGGTTACAAATCCGAAATCGCCTCTACAACATCTATTTCAATCAAGGTAAAATTTGATCCCAAAATTTTCAAAAATTTTCGAAAAAAAACGGTTAAAATTGGTTCAATCCAACGAAAATTGGTGTCGAATTGTAGACAATCTTCCGCCAGTTACAAATCCGAAATCACCTTCAGGAAATCTATTGAAGTAAGACAAAAATGATTCCAAAATTTTCAAAAATTTTCCAAAAAAATCGTTAAAATTGTTTCAATTAACTGAAAATTGGTATCAAAATGTAGATAATAGTCCGCAGGTACAAATTGGAAATCGCAATCACGATTTTTGTTCCAATAAACACGAAAAGTAAATTAAAAATTTTCAAAAATTTTCCAAAAAATGGTTAAAATTGCTCCAATCGACCGAAACTTGGTGTCAAATTGTAGATAATCTTACACGGTTAGAAATCCGAAACCGCCTCCACAACATTTATTTCAATAAAGGTAAAATATGATCCCAAAATTATTAAAAATTTTCGAAAAAAATTGTTAAAATTGATTCAATAGACTGAAAATTGGTGTCAAATCGTAGGATCATCTTCCACCAGTTACAAATCTGAAACCGTCATCACGATTTTTAATCCAATAAACACGAAAAGTTAATTAAAAATTTTCAAAAATTTTACAAAAATGGTTAAAATTGCTCCAATTGACCGAAAATTGGTGTCAAATTTTAGACAATCTTGCGTCAGTTACAAATCCGAAATCACCTTCAGGAAATCTATTGAAATAAAATTAAAATATGATTCCGAAATTTTCAAAAATTTTCCAAAAAAATCGTTAAAAGTTGTTCAATCGACTGAAAATTGGTATCAAATTGTAGATAATAGTCCGCCAGGTACAAATCGGAAATCACCATCACGATTTTTGTTCCAATAAACACGAAAAGTGAATTAAAAATTTTCAAAAATTCTCCAAAAAAGTGGTAAACTTGCTCCAATTGACCGAAAATTGGTGTCAAATTGTAGATAACCCTTCGCTAGTTACAAACCCAAACTCACCTTCACGACTCATATTGAGATAACGGTAAAATATAACTCCAAAATTTTCAAAAATTTTCCAAAAAAATTCTCAAAGTTGGTTCAATCAACTGAAAATTGGTATCAAATGGTAGGTAATAATCCGCCAGTTACAAATCGGAAATCGCCATCACGATATATGCTTCATTAAACACGAAAAGTGAACTCAAAATTTTCAAAAATCTTCCAAAAAATGGTTAAAATGACTTCAATCTACCGAAAATTGGTGCCAAATTGTGGACACTTTTACGCCAATTACAAAACCGAAATCACCTCCACGACACCAATTTTAAATTAAGGTAAAATTTGATTCCAAAATTAAAAAAAAAAAATCCAAAAAATGGTTACAATGGGTTCAATCGTCCGAAAATTGGTGTCAAATTGTAGAGTACCTTTCGACAGTCACAAACCCAAAATTACCTGCACGATTCATATTGAAATAAAGGCAAAATATGATTCCATAATTTTCAAAAAAAAAAATTCAAAAAAATGGTTAAAATTGGTTCAATCGTCCGAAAATTGGCGTCAAATTGTAGATAATCTTCCGCAAAGTACAATTCCGAAGTCACTGTCACGACATTCTGTTAAATATGAGTAAAATATGATTCCAAAATTTTCCAAAAAAAAAAACTTAAAGTTGGTTCAATCAACTGAAAATTGGTATCAAATTGTAGATAATAGTCCGCCAGTTACAAATCGGAAGTCGCCGTCACGATATCTGTTTCAATGAACACGAAAAGTAAATTCAAAATTTCCAAAAAAATGGTGAAAATTGGTTCAATCAAGCGAAAATTGGTATCAAATTCTAGATTATCTTCCGCCAATTACAAATCCGAAAGCGTCTTCACGATATCTATTGGAAGCCAAAAATAAAGGCACCAAATTTTCAAAAAAAAAAAATTCAAAAAACATGTAATGGGTTTAATTTAATCGGTGAAAATAACAAACTTATAGAGAATTCTCCATAGATTTTGAATCTAGTCACTTTTGCATTTCTTCAAATAATCGACAAAATCGAGCAGTTTTCAAAAATTTTCCAAAAAGA